TGATGGACTTTGTTGACGCTCTGATGCAAATTTCCGGCAATATTGGCCAATAATCCAAGGATGGACGAGAAACAGCCATGATTTGGTTGAAGAAGAAAAGGGGGAGTTGAAATTGGGGATGTTACAATATAGAAAAGTTGATCTATTTTATCATATGTTATTCAAATCCTTCCAAGGGAATTTAAAGCTATCACTTTTAATATTTTTAGTCTCGAATCAATGTAACCTAATTGAATGAAAAATCTAGTTTATTGGAGGAATTCGATTATAATTAGATGTCTACGAGGCTCGATCGGGATGGGTAAGCCTTCCTCTCTTCGGCTCCCTCCTATTTCTCAAAAATTCTCTACATTATCCAATATTTGTAAAAACAAATGGTGAAGATGATTGAAATAGGTGGAAAGGATAAGGATGAAAAACTTTCACACATATTTGTGTTACTCAATAACTATCTCTAATCACATATTTGATATTATTTAATTTCATAGTAAGACTTAGTCTGATATCATTAACATTAATCACATCATATCTCTTCCTCAACGAATTTAAGAATATCTAATCTATATAGTAATTTTTCTAAGTGTAGAAAGTATTACAGAAAATAAACTCTGGTGTTGTTTTGTACCCGGAGCAATTTAGTAAGAAAATTATTGCAATAAAGAAAAATTTATAATATGTTATTCTAATCTTTTATCGATCATTAAAACTAAATATGTCACATCTTATAATTGGAGAAATTTTAGAAATTGAAGAACGAAAAAATGAGATTAAGTGTCGATGTCTAAGATGTCTAAGATGTCTAAGATGTCTAAGATGTCTAAGACGGTGATGATTTATAAGACGTAGATCAATTAATAACCGACGATTTTCTCTCGTGCTCCATGGGAGACCCGAATCCACGAAGGTTACTATGAGGTCGAGCGCAGGGGATTACAGTATTAATTCACCGGTGGGGAACGCGGATGGAGCTGCGCAGAAGTAGTGCAGTAAAAAATGAATGAGAAGGGTAAATGCGTCATTTCCCCATTTATTGGCTCCCCTTAACCGTCTCCAGCCACCATCAAATTTAGACGTAGTTTATAAACGAAGGAAAAAACACCATTCTTTCCCGTCATTGTTCTCCAAAGTCGTCTCTGGTTTTCTTCACCATTTCCTTGTCCCGAAGATCTCTCTCTCTCTCTCTCTCTCTCTCTCTCTGCCTTCCATTCTCTCTCTAGAAGAGGTAGGTACTTCATCTCTTCCTCTCTGCATTTTTCATTCTCATTCCCGATTCGAAGTCTGTTACTTGAACCGTCCTCATTATGATGAAACCTTTTTGATTCGTGTTGTTTTCACAATTGGCTTAGGTTGGTGCATAGGGTTCTCCGTCTTTCTTGTTCATTTGGATCCGTGATGGGTTTCGTGATTTTCTAGTTTTTTGTTTCCGATTTATTGCCTGCTAAGCATTTTCTTGTTATGATTTGTGGCGGATCGAATTCAGATCCTGGAAATGTACTTTGGACGTCTTTTTTAAAAAATTTGATTATGAGTTTGGGAGTATGCAGAGATCTAATCTGATGGTTGGGTTTTGATCCGGGACGTTTTTTCTGTTTGTGGAGGAAATTATCGGAAATTAAAGTTCTATCGAATATGATCTAGTTTTTTTTTTTCTTTTTTATCAGTAGGTTTCAGTTTCTTCAGCAATGAAGCTTAATAATAACTAATGCTGCACTTTGGTTTTGTTTTTCTAAAAAATTGTTAGTTTTGGAATTTGTCTTTCTTTGTTTGCTACTATACTTGCCACTGAATTTAACGGTCGGCTAATTTGTCAACTTCCCCTTAGACTTGGATGAATTCAAATTTGATTAAAATCTTCTTTTGTTTTTGTTTGGTTAGTGATCATATGTTCTGTATTGGTCTTGTGCAGAAGTTGCTTTGACATGGCTACACATTCTCCTAAGAACATCCTCATTACTGGGGCTGCTGGATTTATTGCATCCCATGTTGCTAACAGGCTTGTCAGAAACTATCCTGGCTACAAAATTGTTGTACTTGACAAACTTGATTACTGCTCAAATCTGAAGAATCTTCTTCCTTCTAAGCCATCTCCCAATTTCAAATTTGTTAAGGGGGACATTGGCAGTGCTGATCTTGTCAATTATCTCCTGATTACTGAGTCCATTGATACGATTATGCATTTTGCTGCTCAGACTCATGTTGACAACTCGTTTGGTAATAGTTTCGAGTTCACGAAGAATAATATCTATGGCACACATGTTCTTTTAGAAGCATGCAAGGTCACTGGTCAGATCCGGAGGTTCATCCATGTTAGTACAGATGAAGTATACGGAGAGACAGATGAGGATGCTGTTGTGGGAAACCATGAGGCTTCCCAACTCCTCCCAACAAATCCATACTCTGCAACTAAAGCTGGAGCTGAAATGCTTGTGATGGCCTATGGTAGGTCGTATGGGTTACCTGTGATCACGACGCGAGGAAACAATGTCTATGGACCTAATCAGTTTCCTGAAAAGTTAATTCCAAAGTTCATTCTTTTGGCCATGAGAGGTCAGCCTCTTCCAATTCATGGGGATGGTTCTAACGTTAGGAGTTATCTCTACTGTGAGGATGTTGCTGAGGCTTTTGAAGTCATTCTTCACAAAGGCGAGGTTGGCCATGTTTACAACGTTGGGACAAAGAAGGAGAGAAGAGTTATAGATGTTGCCGAGGATATATGTAGACTTTTCTCAAGGGACGCAAAGGCAAGCATCAAGTATGTAGACAATAGACCATTTAATGATCAGAGGTATTTCTTGGACGATGAAAAACTCAAGAACTTGGGGTGGTCGGAACGGACAACGTGGGAAGACGGGTTGAAGAAGACAATTGAATGGTACACCAAGAACCCTGATTGGTGGGGTGATGTCTCTGGGGCTCTGCTGCCACATCCTAGAATGCTAATGATGCCTGGTGGTGTTGAGAGGCACTTTGAAGGTTCTGAAGAGGGAAAACCTGCTTCTTATGCTTCCTGTAATACTAAAATGATAGTCCCAACTTCCAGGAATCCGGGCTCTCTTTACCAGCCATCCTTGAAATTTTTGCTCTATGGTAGGACAGGGTGGATTGGAGGCCTTCTTGGGCAGCTATGTGATAAACAAGGCATTGCCTATGCTTATGGCAAAGGGCGTTTGGAGGATCGGGCCTCGCTTTTGGCGGATATTCAGAATATTAAACCAACCCATGTTTTCAATGCTGCTGGAGTAACAGGCAGACCCAATGTTGACTGGTGTGAATCTCACAAAACAGAAACAATTCGTGCCAATGTTGCTGGAACCTTAACTTTAGCAGATGTTTGCCGGGAGCACGGACTCTTGATGATCAACTTTGCGACTGGCTGTATATTCGAGTACGATGCCAAACATCCAGAGGGTTCTGGCATTGGATTTAAAGAGGAAGACAAGCCAAATTTCATTGGTTCCTTTTATTCGAAAACCAAGGCCATGGTAGATAATATTCTTGGGAACTTTCATACTTACCAGGCATTGCAATTGATCTTTTTGACTTGCTGCTAATCTTTCTTTCTAATCACAGGTGGAGGAGCTTCTGAACGAATACGATAACGTCTGCACACTCCGAGTTCGAATGCCGATATCATCTGACTTGAACAACCCACGCAACTTCATTACCAAGATTTCTTGCTACAATAAGGTGGTTAACATCCCAAACAGCATGACCATCCTGGATGAACTTCTGCCCATTTCGATCGAGATGGCGAAGCGTAACTTGAAGGGCATCTGGAACTTCACAAACCCGGGTGTTGTGAGTCACAACGAGATTCTCGAGATGTACAAGAAATACATGGACCCTGAATTCAAGTGGGCTAACTTCACACTGGAAGAACAGGCTAAGGTAATTGTGGCACCCAGAAGCAACAATGAGATGGACAGTTCAAAGCTGAAAAAGGAGTTCCCAGAGTTGCTGGGGATCAAGGAGTCGTTGATCAAGTACGTCTTCGAACCAAACAAGAAAACCTCAGTTTAATGAAGCTTTGATCTTTAGAACTTAGGATTCATATTTTCATTCTGCATTAGCTACATGTTTATTGATTTACTGCATTGGAAGGTGATGATTGTTATATTCAATCCACCTCATGTATTCTGGATCTTCTATTTGTTGATTTATAAGTATTGTTATTTAGGATGCCAGAGAAGTGTTGTCTCTGCATCGTGCAGAAGCAAGCTTCGAATCCTATGAATAAATGGTATCAATTTTTGCCCATCCATTTCCCCATTCTTCTAATATTCTTCTCTACTTTACCTACGTATGCACGTACATACTACGTCGGTTGGGGAGAAGAACAAAGCTTTATAAGGATTATCCTAAAAAGTAAAGTTCAAATAGAACAATATTTGCTAGTGGTGGGCTGTTACAAACGATATCAAAGGCAGACACCGGGCGATGTGCCAACAATGAGGCTGAGCCTCAAAAGGGTGGACATGAGGCAGTGTCCTAGCAAGTACGCTAGGAGCCGAAGGAGGTTGGATTGAGGGGTATTACATCGATTGGAGGGAGAAACGAAGTTAAACCCCGAAGGGGGTAGACATTCTTTTATAAGGGTGTGGAGACCTCTCTATAAAAAAAGCTTTTTAAAAATTTAGGGGAAAGCTGAATGAAGACTATATCTACTTGAAAATATATATACTAATATTACCTTTGAAAAATAATAATAATTTAATTTTATGAAGTAATTTTATTATGACTTATATAGAATTTAAAATATTTGTTAAGTCAGCTTCGTAATAAAATCATAAAGGTTAGAATTATAATTAATTGTAATGTGTGTTTATGATTTTATATAAGACAATAGTTTAATAAAATCTATATAATAAATTTTTATTAAGTAAGGTTTTATGAAGCCATAAAAATTAATTATAATGCTAATTTCTTCAAAATTTTAGACATGAAATTTTAAATATAAGTTTTAACTTAATTCTGGAAAGTGGAAAGAACCCTAAACCCTAACCCGACCCGAGAGACGAGCTCAAAGGCGGACCGGGCTGACCTTTCTATTATCAGAAAGTTCGACCGCCGATCTCTGCACCGTCTTCATGTTGTGCGTTCGTCCCGTTTCCCAGCTTTCTCCTTCGAACCCTAATTTTCGCTGCGAGAAAATGGCTATGAGGAGATTGCTACTATTTCTTAAGCCATTTGATGCCAATCCTGTTCTCCATTCTGACGGCTTTTCTCGCGTCACCAGCCCTCAGGTCAGAACTCATTCCATTTTTCTGTTCGATTTTAATTCAATTATTTCTTTCGACCATGGATTTTTGTGTGGAAGTTCATTTATTGGTGAATTCTGATGCCCGTCTTCTTCCTGGGTTTAATGGGTCTTGTTTTCTTTTGCATGGCTTCTGCATTTGCTTTTGATGTGCATTTAATATGATGTGTGAGAATTTTTTTAGGTTTAGATCATGTTTTTATTTTGAATATCTTAAAGTTTAGTTTGTTTGAGTTTCTGCATTTTCAAACATTTGATTTTTAGTCCTTTTTAACTTTAGAACAACTGCGAGTTGGCCTAGTGATCCTTTTTTAACGTTTTTTTTGGTTGGTAATTGTTTCTTATCTAAAAACAAAATATACAATTTTTTTTTCCTATTCTGAAAGATCAAATTATTTGTAGCAAGAAGTTTTAGTAATGGTGGCGCTTGACCAACTTAGATGCACTTCGATTCTACATGTGCCAACCAGGTGGGATGGGATTGGATGGCTTTCTCATCCCGTCTCCTCTCCGTGAATGATGAAGCATTATTGTCATTGCTAATGTCTTAACTATTTTTTAGGATGGGTTTAGGTTTTCTGTGGAATTTGTTATTCTCCTTAGGAATTTTCTCCTCTAATTGGTTTATATGCCTTTTTTTAACATAGAAATTTGGGTAAAGGCAATATTTTTTTTTTATTTTGATTATAATTTTACTGTCATCAGATATATTTTTATATTTTTTTAATACAAAGAACTTGATCATACATGTTTATAATGTTCATATAGTTATATGAATTTAAACATTACGAGGCCCATAATATTCCCCATCCCAGATTGAAATAAGGAGTCTCATGGGAAATTTTGATTCCTCAACTCTAACAAATCTCGTTGGAAATTCTTTTCTTGACTTGCCCTTTCTTCTCTGTTTTTTATTTGTCTAACGATCAAAAAAGAAAATAACTATAATAATCTCATGACACAGCCACTCACAACATTGGCATCGAAAGAGAATGAATAACATTTTCAACCTTTTATTTAGCTACGATCTCTTTCATCGATAATGATATACCCAAACTTTATGTTCCTTTAGGGACATCCGATAAAATTTGGAATGATATACCAAAATTGTACAATGCTGAAAATTAGTGTATATGACTTCTAACTTCAGGTCTTAAAAGTTTCTGACTATTGATATGTACGTATGGAGATCTTAGAATGTTCTCTCATTTTAGTCAATATCTATATTTTTATTATTGGCATTGGCCATTCCTAATTTGCTATCGCTATGCAAGGTACTACTATGAACTTCCTCACTGTTTTTTGTTTTTATATGTAGTTAAGTTTCTTGAATCTATACTTCAGCAAGTTCAATGGAGTCTGCGTGATATACTTTTTGTTGGATATTTGTGTCACTGCAGATCTTACGTCACCTAGAGAACAGGCATGCAGTGCACAGGGAGGCCATAAAATTTTGTAAGGATGTTTTGCAGCAGAAGCCTGTGGATTGGGAAGCTGTATTTCGCAATGATCTATCTGAGCCAATTAGCAATGTAGACCTTGTTGTCACGGTTGGTGGTGACGGCACCCTTTTGCAGGCCAGCCATTTATTGGACGAGTCAATTCCTGTTCTTGGAGTAAATTCTGATCCGACACAAGTGGATGAGGTAACTTTGTTATCTAACTAGGTATTCCTTTGAAATCTTTGGAATGGATTGATTATTGATGGATATTTATTTTCAGTTAAATTGCAAATTTAGTTCTTTACTTCAATTAGTTGTGTCTATTTGGTTCTAAATCTGGTAGGATTTCAATTATGTCTTTGAACTTTGAATCATGTGTATATGTAATCCCTATCGTTAACTAAAAATAATGGCGTAGAATACCCTATTGGTTGATTTGGCACAATGAGATAGAAAAATAGCATAATGTCGTGATAGGAACAGTTGGATAAAATAAAATAATAGGTGCTATGCTATCTCTTTTGAAAACAACGTATCAAACTCCTTTCATAAAATATGATACACTATTGTATCCTTCTGTCCTCTTTCTTTTTGTCCCTTATTTGTCATATCATATGTAATCACCCATCATTTGTCTAATAGGCATGCTATCATTTAGTTAGCAAATTCAATGACTGTAGAATCATAATTTGATGTTCAAAGGTGACATTGAAATGTTATAAAGGAAGGGACTAAATAGACACAACAATTACAGTTAGAAACGAAATTTGTGATTTGATCATTATTTTACTTGAAGTATTTACCAGATATTTTCTTGTCTAGGTAGAAGAGTTTGGCAATCAGTTTGATGCTTCTAGAAGCACAGGCCATCTTTGTGCGGCAACTGTTAATAACTTTGAGCAAGTAAGTCTGTTTTACCATTAAAAGAGTGTTTGGCTGTGGATGTCTATTTGCCACGGGGAGTGAGGCAAGAGTTTGGCTATTTCCATTACTTTTTTCTATCTGCCTTCTCTCTCTCTACTCTCTAGTATAGACAAAAAAATCTAAATGTTAGCATGTTTCTGCATGAATCATGATATCAAATTATCGACTTGGAAAGGAATACCTAGCTCTAAAGGAATTGTCACTCAAATGATTGAATAGGCCGGTATCTGATTTAGAGTAATATGAGTTTTGAGCCTCATAAACTATCTAAGGCGTTGTTTTTTGGATGGGGAAGCATGTTGCAAGAGATTCATCTTGTAGAAATGCTGTATTAGTAAGACCATTTTAAGCCAACTGTAAGCCAGATGAAGGAAACCATCAAATGAGAGTACTGGTGAACATGAGCCGGGAGGGTAAAAATTTCTTAACTTTGGGAAGGATGATAAGAAAATTGAAAAATGTAAAAAAACTATTTTATATAGAAAGAAATGAAGCATGATGGATAGTAAGATATATGAAACTTGTAAGAGAAATAAACTGAGGCAATAGAGTCGTGGACCATGGTTGGGTTTTCTTCCTCTTCTAATGTTCAACAATGTGGAGTGGAGTGGAGATTTGAAATTCTTACTTTATGGTCGAAGATATAATGTCTTAATACTTAAGCTATACTCGAGTTGACATTACGGCCGGGTTGTAGCCACGGGATTAGGTAAATACAGGAGGGATTTCTGAAGAATTTAACTAAGGCAGTAGAATTATGGTTTGGGCTGTAGCCGGACAAAATGCAGCAAGGTTTGGTAAAATATGGGAGGAATTCCTAAACATCCCTGCTGCAACATTGATAAAAAATATTATCAAAGTCTCAATATTATTAAGATGTTGATTGATATTAATAAAAAATATTGACATGTTGATGTTCCTCTTAAGTTTGCCGTTCACTTTATATTAATTCCTTTCTTGAGTTTTATCATAACCTCTGATTGTTTGGAGGCATTAGTATATCACATTCTGTTTGGGCTGGTTTAGAGGAACATCTAAATGAAACCGGCTTTTCCGACAAGCAAATAGTAGACGTATTACCACAGACTTGATACGATCACTTCCTATAGGTATTAGATAGTGTCCTCAGTGGTGTAGCATCCCCTTCCAAGTTGTCAAGGCTATCCATATCTGTAAATTCAGAGTTGCTCACAAAGTATCCTCTCAATGACATATTAATTGCTCATCCATGTCCCGCATCGGTCTCTCGATTCTCGTTCAAGTAAGAATCATCCTCTGGTTCCTCTTTCTTGTATCTTCCTTATGTTTGAGGTTACATTCATTAACCTCTTCCTCTCTGCAGAATTAGGAATGAGCAGCCATGTTCGCCCTTGTTGAACTGCCGATCGAGTGGTCTAAGAATTTCGACTGCTGCTGGATCAACAGCTGCGATGCGATCAGCAGGTGGATTTCCCATGCCCATTCTATCTCGGGACCTTCAGTACATGGTACGAGAGCCCATGACCCCAGGAAAACTGTCCAATTTTATGCATGGGATGGTATTGTCAGATCAGTCGATGGAAATGGCCTGGCTGTGTAATAATGGTGTGATTTACATTGATGGTTCTCATGTTTGTCATCCTATTCAATACGGTGATGTCATTGAAATATCTTCCAAGGCCCCGAGGCTGAAAGTTTTCTTGCCTCATCATATGTTGTATACAGCCAGAGAAGAAACTTCAGAGCAACATACATATCCAAAATAGATTTTTTAACTGCATATATGCAACCGAGTCGTCAACATGAAATGTTCTGAGCATATGAACGAGCATGAAGTTAATCTATGTGCAGGACCGATTTGGCTTTTTTGCAGGACTGGGGTCATCAGATGCTTTCTTGCCGAGCATTTTGAATCAACATGTAAGATCATTAACAACACGTATCTGATGGACAAATGAAGGCATTTTTCAAGGGGTGGCTTTTGACAATTTTTCTGTACATATGAGAATGAAAAATGCGGTCTCTAGCTAAGAATTGAGCTGTGAATACCTGGATTGTCGTCCAACCTTCTTTGCTTGTGCGTAACTTTTTGAAACTTAACCTTTCACGTTTTGGTGTTTGTTTATCAACTGTTTAGAAGGTTCTAAATCATACATTTTCGTGTAGGATTGCACAAAATACTTTTTGAACCTTGAGATATGTCTTAGTTACACTGCTTTTGAAATAATGCTCTCTACTGTTGTAATAATTTTGTGTATACCTTCTCGTTTCAAATTTTAAAATTATTTTAGTTTAATTTAACATTTTGCATACTACTACTCCACCCCCAGTTTTAACATATTTTTGCTAGTTATACAGACCAACTATGGTTTGAGAAATGAAAGCAGTCGACAAAAATTACCTTCCCTAGGAAGAGCACTGTCTGTATAACGTCCGATTAGTTGGTAAAGATTTCTACATTTTTTATTCTTCATGCAAAGAAATTAAACCTCGCGCAAGAAATAAAAAAAGATTGTGCAAGTGGTGGAAGATAAATCTACGTAATATTCGATTGTTCATAAACCGAAAGATACCCAAGAAAAAAAAAAATCTGCATCCTATTTTCTTGATTTTCTGTAATCCTCCACCGACTTCAAAACTACCAAAAGAAAGAAAAGATAACCTTGAAGCAAGCGGAATTGATCTGCCCTTTTGCCCACCAAACGTCAACTCGGCCACTTCCATCTCACAATCTATAATGACAGTAATAATATGATTCAGCTAGTGCGAGAGCATGCAGGAGAAAGTTTGAGCTTAAATTTCATGTAAACAAGAGTTATTTGCCGATATGAGCATAGTCCATAGTAATTGGTATGAACTCTTTGTAAAGAAGCACCGAAAAGCAAGCGTTATATACTTACGTGAACATTTGAGGGCGACGTGAGAGCTGAGGTCGTTTGATTGGGGACAGAATCAAGTTGCGCAGAGTCATGGAGGGGTTGCCAGCTCCACTTCCAAACGCATTGTGAGCTCCACCTCTTCTATTTCCAGCTTCCATTGCCATCGGAGCAGCTTGTTTTGCCGGTGACCCAACGGAGATGTCGAAGTGACCAGAGTTCCCGCTATTTTGTCGTGTTGGCCATATTTCCTCTCTTGGTCCTGGGGTTTCAGGAGCGGAGACCAGCAAGTCTGCAAGAAATAAGTCAACTTGTTTTGGAAATACTTGAGCAGTACAGGACGTAATTAAGCTGTGCGTATGTGAGAAATGAGAGCATGGTTTGAATTCCACTCGATAATACATGGTATAAATTGAAAACTCAACATGATAAAAGTATCAATTGTCTGAAGTTTTCATTCTTTAAAATTAGAAAGAGAAAAAGATTACCTTTCCTCATGGGTTCTCTGTTATCCATCAAACTAACGGGGTTTGAGAACAAATCGGGCTCGTTTCTTGGATAAAAATTGCTCACAGGCTGGATGGCCGACCGTTTTAGTGATTCATGCTCATTCCTCAATTGATCATACATCTCATCTAGTTTCCTCTTCTGCCTAACATGCAATTGAATTTTCTGGATCAGGATCTTAAAAACAGAGAATACCACTCAGGAATCGGTTTAGAAATGAGAAGCAAAAATGAAAGGAGATGACCTGGATTTTTCAGCAAACTTCTCCTGGAGCTCTTGTTTGTCTTTGGATATATTCTCCATCTCTCGTTCCATCATCTGGCACCTCTTGGCCATTTTTTGGTATGCAGTATGCACCTGCTCCAGTTTTTCAGTAAACTTTTCTTGCATAACTTCACATTTCTGTCGGCATTGAGCCACGATTCTGTTCATTTTGTACTGCATCTCCAATTCCTTTTGTCCAATATAAAACATTACACTTCTATATGCACTTTTCATCACTGAGACCAATCAAGGAGAACTAAAGACAATCTATCTTCTCAACTGTTAAAAAGAATGGAATAACAGCGTTTTCCAAATTTTGGAGGATAATTTATCATTAATTGTTAGAATTTTGAATCATTGGTGATTACTCGGAAGGATACATATCTGAGGATTTATACCAGCCATGGCCATCTGTAATATTTTTTATAGTGAATATCAGTATCAAAAGCAGTGAGACAATACAACGAATCAGTCACATACAAAGAAAAGATTGAAAAACGCTATAAGAGTCTTAAAAGACTTGAACAAGATAATTTAAGAGAATACTTACATTTACCCATTCATCATTTGGATTGATGTCCACGGGTTTCATGAGGCTGCCAAATAGAAATCGGAAGTACGATAAAATAAAATCATATTATCGATGGGGCAGGCTCCAAATAGCATCATAATAATAAACCCATCACCTTTTAGAAAGAACTTGATCACAAATGGGGCAGGCTCCATCATTGCTAAGGATCTTGCTTGCATCCTCTGTGCCTTTACACCGTTAAGAAACAACTTATGCAGTTAAACCACTTACATTTACTTAGAGAAATTGGTCAAATATTTCGCCAAATTAAACGATAGACAATGAAAAATTTCCAAATGCTTAGGATACACAACAAGTGACCACAAGTTGTGGAGATAGCTCGCCCTTCAAGTTCTCTCCAGCAAGCATTGCATTTCATTATTAACCTTCAGAAGTAACCTCTAACGCCATGGAATACTAGAGAAATCATAGACCCTGTAATGAAAATCACAGGCAGGAGGGTCGTTATACAACGGTGCTCAGATTTCAAAAACCTTAAAAGCATTTGTGCAGAAAGAAATTCGCGAAGGTTATCTTGTTGTTCCTAGCTGATCATTTCTATATCATATAGCTTGACAAATGAACCACTGATCGTTAAAATTAAAGCCATATCACGGCATTGATAGACGATAGCACTTCAGATTCTAAACACCAAGTTTAAATAATGAAGGAAATTAGGCAATCAGAAGTTCTAAACCACGTAAAGATGCCAAACTATTTGAGTGACTGATGTTAGTTATTTGGTTCCCTTTTCCCAGTTGATTAGAAATTGAAAGGAGAAAAGACGTTCCTAGTCAACTTTTAAAAAAAAGAACAAGTGAAAAAAAAAATCAAAACTTAGCTTAGTTTTCTAAAACATGTTAAAAAAATAGAAAAGAAACAAAGATGAAAGTAGTATTTATATGTTTAATTAAAATAAAAAAACAAAAACTAAACACTAAATGGTTATCAAATGAGTTTAAGTTAATTCAAGGATCCAAGCTTTCATTGTTTGCTTTTAGTCCATAAATCAAACAGAACATCTTTTTGACTGCTATCAATAGGCTTCAAATTATGCATGAAGTTTATAAACGTGAATACCAGAAGCTCTTCTGGATGGTACAAGAATATCAATGGATGGCTTCCACCCTGTCCAGGAAGACACTTTTTCTAAAGATTCTACGTGCTAAAAGGAATCTGGTGGTTTTAGTTTAACATGAATCACTTACCATCGAAATAATGGATATAGAAATAATTCGGTCTTCTCATACCGAAATTCAATGTTTTCCCATATAATTCAAAAAAAGATCAGCAAAACAGCGTTTCTTCTACAGGTTTTAGAGCAACATAGTTAACAGGGCAAAAATTCATCGGAGTGGAACGAATAGAACCTAACATCGGTAAAGTGGTTGCTAGACAGAAACAGGAACTCGTAATCTAAATCGGATATTGTTGTTTTATGATGTACTCAGGAGCAGAAGGATAAGCCGAGCTCTATGCAATGAACATATAAGATACCAGCGAAAGAACTTGACTGCAACAGCTGTACTTGTTCCCTTCACAATTCTATTTTTCTCGGCGTGTATTATATATCTAAAATTCCAGTCCACATAAAAAATTGGCATATTTTCTTAAAAAAATCTTGTTTTTTGAACATGAAGAGATACAAGAAACCATTTGCAATTGCCGGAAACACTGGGCCCGCTGAAGGCACAAAAATCCTTCAAAGCTTCTATTAGAGGACAAAAAAAACCTACGATTTATTGTACCTCGTGTTCTGAAGTTCATGAAGAGATATAATTTAAATTATAGTAATAAATGGTGCTATCGATAAATGAGTATAACAAATAAAATTCAAATTAATCAAACAAAAAAAAAAAAAAAATGGGGAAGCTAGCAGGGTTTAATCGATAGTTCCAAACTTTTTGATAAAGAAACGAAGTTCTTCAACATCATTCTCTGTTTTCTACCTCGACCTTTTTTACACAAATGTAAGGAGGAAAGGGTGGAAATCCTAAATATCACAAGGGTAACTGAATCAAAAATAATTTCCAGATTAGGAGCTAATACATTAACAAATAGCAATCAACTTGAAAAGAAAAGAAAACAAACAAAAATATCTTGCTCGCTAGAAAAGAAGATGGAATTTGGAAGCGAGAAGTAACATTTTACTCGAAAATACGAAACAAGTCGGAACTTGAAAATACTCTCTGATCACACACGAATTGCTTGAAAGAAAATTCCAATGAAATTCAAAATGGTGATAAATTAGGGTACAAAAAATCTTCGAAGTAGAATGAATTATACCTCGAAATTCTCAAACAAAATCTCCACGGCAAAGAATACGGTTCCAGTCTTCAGCCTTCCACCGTGTTCAATTAGGAATGCGCATCTGAACAATCTTGAGAACATAAACACTTGAAAACATTGAAGAAAAGAGAAATCGAAAACCTCTGAATAAAAGGTCGAATTTGGGGGGAAATGTTCTTGGGAGTTGCTAACTCTGTTACCTTCGCAGTTCGGTGTAGCGAGAAATGAATTTTGAAAATCGAGCTTATAACTGGAAGGATATATATATATATACATATACATACATACATACATACATATATATATATATATATAAATATATATATTTAAAGATTTAGAACATTTGTCCCACCTATTTTAAAATTTTGAATATTTTTTAAATGTTACCATTTTAAACCATATTTTTTAATTTTTAAAATATACAATATATAGTGCGTCATATAAATTTAAATTCAACTACTAACACAATACGATTTTAAGATGTCTCTGCTTATTCTAAAAAGCTGTACAAGCTAGAAGACGTTGCCCAAGTACAGGAAATATCTTATGGACTTGTTTCGAGACATTTTCAAAATTTGGTTGGTTTTATACGAGAAATGGGACCACCCTCCAAATTTAAATACATAATGATTTATATGTTTGTTTTTAATTTATTGTTACATTAAAAATAGTTTATTACTTTGGGCTGAACTCTATGCCATCTATGGAATAGCAATACGTGCTAATTGATTGCTATTACATTTTTTAATTAATTGTTTGTGGTTAATATTTAAGTTACGAATTAATAAAATAAAAACTTTAATTTTAGAAAAATATGAGAAGATCATGAATTAAGAAGTACGACATGTCGTAGTGGGGGTGGAGAAGTACGACAGGAGGTCAGAGGTGCAACGTGGACGAAAATGGAGGAAGGAATTGATTCCAAAATATCACTCCGATTTACACTCCGAATCACAAATCAAGTCCTCTTCTTAAACCTCTCTCCGACTTCATCCACTTGTTCCCCAAGGAACCTGATTCCCTCTTATTCCTTTTTCCATCTTTGCTCAAGACGCTTTTCTTTTTCAAATTCGAAAGAGTGAGAAGGGAAGTCTCTTTTCGGGTTTTTCGCGTGAGTTTCAGTGATCATGAGTGGGTTTTAGAGGATTCGAGAGAAGGTTAGGATGAAGATTCAATGCAATGTCTGCGAAATGGCTGAAGCCACCGTTCTGTGTTGTGCTGATGAGGCGGCGCTGTGCTGGGCCTGCGATGAGAACATTCATGCGGCCAACAAGCTCGCTAGCAAGCACCAGAGAGTTCCTCTCTCTGGTTCTTCGTCTCAGATGCCCAGATGCGACATCTGCCAGGTATGAGTTATATAAATCAATCACTCTGTTAGTTCCAGTAATCGAGACAGATGGGTCCGGAGATGTGTTGATGAATTGGTTGGAATCAACACTAATATGAGGACTAAAGCTTCTTCGATAAATTTTGATCATGTTACTATGAACTGAGTTCCGTAGGCTTAAGTAGCAGGCTTACATATCCACCCCACGATGAATGATCAAGGAGTAATTGAATCTGTTGCCAAATCTCATGAGTCTCTTCATATTTTTGTTTCAAAATTCTTCAAGATATTTATTTCCACATCTTATAGGCTGATGGTAATCCTACTAACAGATGAAAGAAAAGTCGGTTTCAGCTCGAGGTGAAGCTGTGGGCAGTTTTAGAGATTTGAAATGCTGGTAGATGGATTTTAAAACTTTTTGAAGGTGCATAAATATTTTTCCAATCTAGTAAAAGAGGAAAGTGAATCCATAGTGGTGAGATTCTATATCGGTTGGAGAGGGGAAATCTTTCTGTAGCAGACACGTTTTAAAACCGTGAGGTTGACGGTGATACGTAATGGACAAAGTGGACAATATCTACTGGCGGTGGACTTAGGCTGTTACAAATGGTATAAGAGCCTGGTGTGTCAACGAGGACGCTGGCCCCTAAGAGGGATGGATTGTGAGATCCAGAGAGGGGAACTAAGTATTCCTTATATGGAAACCTCTCCCTAGTAGACACTTTTTAAAACCACGAGGCTGACAGAGATACGCAACGTATCAAAACGGACAATATCTACTAACGGTGGACTTGGGATGTTACAATAATATTTGAGGCCAGTGACTATTTGGGAGAAGTCTAAAACAAGATATGGATTGATGGCGTTTGAATTTTTTATATGTTCTTGGGGGAATGTCAGCCAATAGCTAACTTCATTTCTTTTCTGAAGCCCCCTTATCAGTTGTTATTGTTATCAGTTGTTATTGTTACCCTTGGTAAGTCATCCATGATTTCTTGCAGGAAGCTAGTGGCTACATCTTCTGTTTAGAGGATCGAGCATTATTTTGCAGAAAGTGTGATGTTGCAATACACACAGCAAATACTTGCGTAACAGGTCATCAACGCTTTCTGCTCACTGGTGTGAAGGTCGCACTCGAGCCAACCGACCCTGTTCCCTGTTCTTCCATAGCTAATTCACATTCTAGAGAGATATCAACCAAGACGAAAGTTAGACCACCGTCTGATAAGGAATTCTCGATGCCTTCGTCTGGTGAACTCAGCAGAAGCCTGTCTGTTCAAGGCGGATCTGATGACTTCATGACAAATAGAACATTGCTTACTGGAGATTCTGCTTCTGGTGGCTTTTCACAATGGCAAATAGATGAACTCATTAATCTGACTGGATTCAATCAGACTTGTGGGTTTATGGATAACGGATCATCCAAGGTATGATTATGGTTTTATAATGCAGTGAATTCTGATCAACTTGTAGCATGCAGGATGAACTCTTAGTTATATTTATATGGAATCCCAACCATGTGAATTGTTTGCCATTGCAGAATATTCACCATTCTTAGTGGTTGATAATGGCTTCTGGAATTTAAAAATCCTTCTATTAGGATGTCACTCGCATATCAAAACCTCTTTATAAACAACCATCTTATGTAGCTTGGATGCTTTTCTCCATATATACACTATACAACCTTCAAGATTGATAGGGACTGGAGAGAGACAGAACTAATTCTTAGGCACGACACGCCGGTAAACTATTGTTTCCAGAGTGCTGGTTCTTGTGTAGGACTATTCTAAATAATTAATTTTTTCTTGACCTCTAAGTTGGGACATTGGTAGATTGTTACAGGTCATGGGCGAGTTCTTGCATGTTATGATATTATCCTATCCTCATAGATTAACTGCAAAAAAGTGGACTGATTGGAGGTAATATGCCGTGCAGATTGCACATATTACTGCCAATCCAGATGTAATAACTTTTTGCTTTTCTCTATCTGTGAAATTTATCAGGCTGATAGTGGAAAGCTTGGGGAATCCGACTCATCACCAAGTTTGAGAGCTGCTGATGTGGAACTCGACGATGACGATGAATGCTCAGGTCACATTCCAGAGGCTTCCTGGACTGTGCCTCAGGTTCCCTCCCCTCCCACAGCATCTGGCTTGTACTGGCCAAGAAGTTACCATAATTCTATGGATGGTGCTGTTTTTGTTCCTGACATCTGCTCTTCAGAAAGGTTTCGACATTGCTCACGCAACGGTATGTTCTCGAAACGAAGGAGGCAGTTTTAGATGTCTGAACGCTGGCATCAGACTTCATTGCTTGTGTTCTGAACGTCTGCTCGGTTTGTTGTGTGTTTATAGGCTTTCTCAACTACATTTGTTTTATAATAAGTGGACACGACCAAAGATCATCGGTTGAAATGTATACCTTGTAACGTAGCCACTATAGTTTAGGATTTGTTACAATGATGTAGAAATAAACCTGTGCATTAGTTGACCTAGGTATTTTTTCAGATTTATTTCCAACATCATATGGAAATGATTAGAATTCAAATCATGTTGACCCACTTGATTATTTGTAGTTTTACAAAAATTATGAAGAATCAATGTTATGTCTTGGCCATTTTGAGTTCTGTAGCTCATGTTCATTGTTCAATGTTATTAACCTCTTTCCTAGTAGAACCTTCAATTTTTTCCTGATAAGAAGAGTAAAACTCAAAAGAAATCTATGGTATCCATCAATGTGTTCTATACACAGAAGGAAGACAACAAGATATATGAATAAGTAATGCCACTATTCCATTCCCTACGAATACAATTATGTCCAAAGTGATGTTAGAGGTTAAAACATCTTAAAAAGCCACAAAATTACCCTGAAACTGCATTTCGTTCACTGCTGTCGAATACCAGTGGCCATTCTCGAAGCAAGAATTTAATTGAAGCAATCACTCGGGACAGTTCCAAGGGTAGGATTTGGTCTTCCCCTCCATCAGCTGTAGTTTTCTTATATATTTTTTTTTCTGTCAGTTGAATGGAAATACAAGAGAACGCCAAGTCGTCAACTCTTGAAGGTGCGTCGCATTATGAATGTCAATGACCAAGTAGGAGCTGCTGCATCAACATAGCTAAAATGCTGCCTATGGATATGTTGATGACATTAACAACATCATTATTGAGCTGCAAACAGAATTCGAATGAATCAGAACAGTAGTTTTCCAGAACAAGGCAGATTGAAGAAGTAAAACCCGGGAGACATGTTGGAGAAGAGAGGGGAAGGAGCTTCATTATAATGTAGGAAAAATTAGCCTTTTCGAATTGGATGGGATAGTGCATTGATGATCAAGGTGGTTTTTCAACTGATATCTGAATGCTTTATATCTACCTACTAATTTTGCAGGTGCTTTAAGATTTAAATTACTTAGCCGCTTTCAGACCTGAACCCATTATTCATGATGACTAAGCCAACAATACACGAGAACAAGCAATAACAGCAGAAGAGTTCAATTCATAAACAAACAACAGACTCAAATGTAAGGCAATCAGTGATAAAAAAAAACTTTAGTACTTACCCACCGAAATCCCTCCTTCCCTTGAAATACAGCACCGATGAAGCTTTCACTAACATTAGCAATCTGTGAAGCTATAGCACATACAATTGCTTCAGGTGCAGTAACCTGCATCATCATCCAAAGAGAAATCTAAATGTGCATCCAAGAAGACGAACAATGTATAATTTTCATAGAGATATAATTGGGGGAAGGACTCGTTAAAACTCCAGAAGGAGCCTGTAATTAGCCAGTAAAGTTCTTAAAATATGGAAAATTCTTAAATACGCAGTTTCAACGAGCTTTCAAGCCATGCTCCAAATGAGCAAGGAACGATTATAAGACATGAGGGAATATTCATAAGAAGTAGAGCTGCAGTATAGTTCAGGGTGTGACAGGAACAACAAAAGAAAATTACGTCACCCAAAAGATAGCCAACGAAGGCAAGAGCAATTGCTGCTAAGAGTCCAGCAAAGGTTCCCTCGAGACTGACAGCCCCTTCTGTTCCCCGAGGAACTACCTTAAATGTCGTCACCAGGTACCTGGTTATAAACGAAGCATCAGTATAACCAGGAAAGAACTGAAGAAACAAAACCCCATATAATTATATTTAAAGAGGTCCAAACAGATTAAGGATTCCCATTCCACGTATAAACTATATATTGTTCATTTGATATATAATGAAGACTAGTTAGAAAATTCTTCAGAAAACTGCAAACTCAAGAAAATTGATAATTAGTAGAAAAGGTAAATGAAGAATTCGGACATTTACTTAAAACTTTGGAAAACATCTTAAAAATGGTTCAAGATGAACATGTTTGGAAAACAACCTGGTACATTATTTGTAATAAATAGTATTTTTCTTTTTATTTTGCTTTATTAGTATTTAAATGTCGAATGTGCATGATCCAACATGTTTGTTGTTGTGGCAAAAGAACACTGAACGGTCGATGTTAGTAGTTCAATAAATTACTCGAACAATGTTGATTATGCTTCCATGTAGAAGGACTGCTAGGCGTGGTTGGTTGAGGGGTAGGTAACCCCACATGAAGTAGCACCCCCACTAGACCCGGTTAATGATCAAACTGAGGATACACCGATGGAACATGCCTAGCCTACAGTAGCAACCTTGCTTCAAACTCAGAAACTCCGTTTTTTCATTTGTTCCTGAATTAGTTAATTGTCGGGTAATACTTTTGAAGAACTCTCTTAAATTGCAACCACATGATTAGGCTTTGTCTGCCTTGCCGACTGTTCCAAGAGTGGATCCTTAATTCGATGACCAACTTGGTCTAGTGTGGTTCTTCTTCAGGTGGGGTTTCCCGTCCTTTACCGCACCTAACAGTCCCTTTTCCACGTGGAGGCATAATTTAACATTCATAGGGTTTGACTAAGATATCGAACTACTAGCATCAAACATTATCTTTTGCCACAACAACAAACACGTCCGATGGTGCACATTCTACATTTAAAGACTAATAAAGCAAAAGAAAGATAAAATACTATTTGTAATAAATAATGTACCTGGCTGTGACAACTTGTTTGTTGTTTGGCCATGGTGACACATATTGCTAACGAAGCAAGTCTACAAAAACCATAACCTTGGGTATGATACAGTCGAAGTAAAGATGTGGAATTACTCACGTTATCCTACCATATCCCTTCCCTATTTCACTTGAGACAGTGTCACCCAGTTTAGTACAAAAACTGGCAACAAAACCAAGTCGCCATAATTGCGCGAATGTTTGTCCCCCAACTTTATTTATCATGAGGAAAGCACAAACACAACCAGCAGCACTCGATCCTATTACGCTACTGGGTCCTCTTCTCCCTTTCCTCTTTTCAGCTACCCCTTGTGCCTCCTTTTGGGCCATCTTTACCTTTGTTGCAGCAGTTCCCTAAGAAACAAAAATTCAGCATTCAGAAGTTCTTTTTTGGAACAAGTAACAACTATCATTTGATATACTGAAAAGGATTAGGATCAAACTCCCAAATGGAGCAAAAAGGAAAAATTATGAACAATAAAGGCAACTATATAGAGAACCACCATGAACGAACTTTTCATAGACCGAACGAAACACCCCGATAAAAAATGATTTATTGAATTTTGCTACCATTTTGAGAAATGGAAAAATAAGCATGACTGAGCTCTTGTTTGTATTATAGAAGAATCTCTAACTTCTTTTGAAGGTATTCTACTCTACAAAGAACCATTTCATGACGAACCAATTTCAGCTCCCCATCAAGTTGTGTAGTCTAAACTAAAAGTTCATTCATAAAAGCAAACCTCGACTCGGTAAAGGAAGCTTCAATAAACAACACACAAAGGAATGCACTAGAAGATTATTTTTCAAAAAGAGAAATTTTACTGTTGCTGAAAGAGGGAGTTCTGTAAGTGGCTTCCACTAATACTTGTATTGGAATAAAGACTTTCTCAAACACAGAGCAACAAGATTTTGAAAATTGCCATAACAATCTCAATCTCTCAAGTGTAGGTTAATCATGATTTGGAGAATCCCTTTGAGAAAGGTGAAAATTTTGAAGTCTTGACAAACTTAGGAATGTTCAGAAAAGGGGATCATAAGTCATGACGAGTAATAGCTTCAAGGGAATGAACCATAGAAACTTGAATTTGTATAACCAGTATTTGGACCAAGCAAGATTGCCAGTACGCTGAAGTTTGCAGGTGAATTTTAAGCTTTCAGAGGATTGGTTGAAAGATTGTTGAGTGGTTTTCCTTCAAAAGAACTTTAATATGAGAGATAGTAGCACTTTAAGTACGGTGACAATCAAGATGGTCATAGACTTGTCAATGAAACTCGTGAGCTCTGCATAAGTAATGAGGGGGGTCCAAATACTAGTATTCTAACATTTACATGTATTCCATTACAATCATTTTGAAGCAATTGTGAAGGAGAAAGCACCCAACCCAATTCCCTGAGTTTTAACCATTTTTTTCTATTTGATCATCTAAAAGACGGGTTTCCACACTAGAACTATTCAGTCAATACAGAAATCAGCGAAAAAAAGAAAAACAGAGATATTGATCCAACGAACGAAAAATAACACGGCGTTGAACAAAACAACCAATCCAATCCAGGAACATGCTAAAGAGACCAAATCCCACACATCAAACAAAGCCCAAATTGAAATTCAGCAAGAGGGAACAAAGACGAACAATGATGAAATAGGTAGCAACAAGAAGGAAACCAGAGGGCCCAAAAGCACGCCACGTGAGTGTACCAAGCAAGAAAGCAGAAGCAATGCCAGAAACAGACAACCCCGTGACCAGAATCGGCAAACCCACGACGAAAATCAGCAGGTTGCTGAGTAAGGCCGACTGCCACGTGTCTGGGCTCGATTGAACAAGATTGACAGCGGCGGAAGCTATGCTCTGAAAATTCTCAGCTGGGACGACCATCTTAACGGATCGGTTAGGGCTCGAATTGGGAATTAGGGTTTATGAGAGAAGACGTAAAAGGGGAAATTGATGAGTTTGGGAGAAGGATGAAGGGGAAGAGGAAAAGTTGCAGCCATCAATGCCTTGGCGTTTAATATACTGAACAATCTAAACGCTGGAACCTGGTCGATGTGTCGGCTCAACAAGAAGAAGTATATCTTACAAAAGTATTTTTTTTAGATTTTTTTTAGACTAATTACTCTACAATGTAATGATATTGTCCAATTTGAGCATAAGCTCCTATGATTTTGCTTTGTGCTTCCCAAAATCTCATACCAATGGAGAGTTATTTTTAAATTATAAACTCATGACCATTCCTTAAATTTGATGCTTTCTTCTAAGAGTAAGAACATTATTTTATAATAAATCTTAATTAACCCAATTAATTATTCAATTTTGATTAAAAATATATCCAAATGGTATAAATTTATATTAAATTCCATGACGTAACCAAACATTAACCAAATATATAAAAATCAGCGCATTTCAAATAAATGAATTATTACATACCCAAATTGTAAGTTTTTAATAAGAAATCAAGAAAAAATAACATTTTAAATAACCAGGGAGGTTTAAAATAAATAATTTAAATAAGGTTTTTAAATAATGAGATTGTAAAATAAGAGATTCCAAGTATCAGGAACGCCGGCGAGGCACCAATGGCTACAGTCCAATCCGGTTCTGCCAACTAAGCCATACTTGGAGGGGTGCCCATCTTTTCTCAGCAGTGATAACTCTGTTACGTCCAGAAGGTGAACGGGGTTTGTGATTTTGCTTAGCGCAGCCTTCAGCACGGCCACCGCCGGCAGTGAACCACCCGGGTACACCGATCCTGCCACCGGTTCGTTTTGACCTATGCAACTCTTTGCTCTTGGTTCTCCCCATAAACTTCCACTGATATATAACATCATACATTCGGTTAATATTACCTTTAAAATTTCATGAATATTTTTTAAATATTTTATTAATTTAAAATTTTATAAATTAGTGAATGAAATAATAATAAGGGTAAAAAACTTACTTGTAATGGGATGGAGAAATTCCTTGGAAAAAGACATTATTTGTTTGAGGATCAATGTTGAGATCAACCCATCTTCCCCAAGTTGTGAGAGCCTTCTCAAAAGCTACCATTCTATCCATATCTCTCAACACCTCTTTCCCTACTTCAATATAATCCCAACTTAAAAAAAAAAAAAAACGTAATTTTAGTTTAACCTTCACAACTTAAAAACTAAGGAGAGAAAGTAATTAGAACGTACGGTTGAGAAGATCCTCTGCGATTCCACCAGTGCCAAGTATTGAAAATGAGAAAGTCGACGCTTTGCCATAGCTTACTCGATCCTTCATTAATTATATCTAATTTCAACACTCTTCCAATCTCTTCTCTTACAATGTCTACTAGATATACATTTTTCTCGAGCATCACTTCCACTTTGTGCTCCTAAATCAAACCATCGATCTCCAAATGTAATCGTTTCTCTTAAGAAAGATCGAAATGTTAAAAAATACATAAGTTATGAGAAAAGATACCGTAAAAGTGAATGTGGAAACATCTCCGACCCTTGTCAAAGTATAATGTGCATTTGGAATAGCCGAGTGAAGCATGCATGTCAAAGATTGCCATTGATTCCGACTAAGTGAGTCTCCCACAAATAGTATACGTTTGCCCCTAAGTTTTTCTAAGAAAAGTTTTCCATCAAACCTAAAATAGGAAGAATGCAATAGAACTTATTGACAAGAAACATGGGTAGGGAGGGATATAAAAGGAATAATGAAAAATGATAGGGGTAAAAACGGAATACGTGACAAACATTTTTCCGATCTCACCCACCGATAGATCGCGAGAAAGTGAAAACGTACCCCATGTGAAAGGAATCTTTCTTATCATTTCATTTCTTAATTTAATTTAAAAAAACCGCCGAATTTAGTTTCAAAAAATTTACTTTTAATTTACTATTCAAAACAACACTGTATTTTTAATTTAATCCAACTAAAATTACCAAAATATACATATACATACATACATACATATATATATATATATATTTTTTGTTAAATTAATTTTTAATTTTGGGTTTAATAAATATTTTAAACTTTAAAAATAATTAATAAATTTCTAAATTTTTTATTTTGCATCTTTAAAATGAAAATTGGTTGATATTTATAACCTCCGAAATTTAACAATTGAGGAATTAATTTAACAATTTATTATTATTATTATTATTATTATTAGGTGAAAGAAGCATTATTGTAATAGAAATAAAATCGGCAAATATACAATTACCGGGGAGTACAGGGTACCTGGATAAATCGCAATGGAGAGGCTGCCATCTGTACTTGGTGTAACCTAAATCGGGACGGCCATTTTTGACGCAGCTGAACTCGTGCTCCACGAAAGGACAACTCACCGCCGTGTACAGCGGGTAAGTCTCGTCAACAACCCAACTTCCGACGAATAAATTGCACTCCTCCGTCGTTCTCGCCGCCGTCGAAACTCCAGAAACCAAAAAAAGAAGAAGAAGAAGAAGAAGAAGAAGAAGAAGAGGAATTCCTCGCTCCAAAATCCTACTCCTTAAAGCCATTTCGTTTCCTCTCTCTCTCTCTCTTAGTTTTGAGAGATCAATGGAGCTAAGCACTGACACTGATCCAATGAGGAAAGCAAGAGAGAGGCCAAAATGAATGGGCCAATGGGAGAGAAAAAGGGAGAGTGGAGAGAAAGAAGGGTAGTTTAGTCATTTGAACTCCGGCGGTGGATAATTATGTCAATTCGAAAGGCTAAACTATTTTTCATACTATTAAAATATCATTTACAAAATTATTTTTAAAAAACATAATTTTAAAGTAATCCAAAATTATTATTTTAAAAAAAAAACAAACTGTACATGCCTCAAACATTAAAACATTAATAACTAATTTGGTGTTTTTGAATTCATTGCTTCTGTCCATTTGGGCCTGGGCCATTTTACAAATATTTGTTTTTAAAAACAAATATTTAAATCTTCACTTCCACTTCGACATTTATTATTCTAAAAAAAATGTAATCATAGTAAAGAATGATTAATTACGTTTTTCGAAAAAAATAAATACATAAATATATTAAGATTATATTTTGTTTTGAAGTTGGGAAAACATAAACAAATAAAAAGAAAAGAAACACGTGATTGTACGGTAAATTAATTAATTAAAATAACAATTATTTTTGGATTTTTGGATTTTTTTTACAAGGGACTAAATTACTACAAATAAATAATCAAATAATAAAATGATTATAATTTAAAATATTTAGCTTGATATAATAATGATTTAATTTTATGAAATTTATTAAATCAAAATTAATTTTGCACTGTTTAATGCAATGGATGAGTAAGCAAATTTCTCTTTCTTTCTTTAAATTTTCTTTCTCACCCATTTTTTAAAATACTACCGTTAATTAAAATATCAAATATACTTATTTTAAAAAGAGAAAAAATATATATGTTTGTATTAGAAGCTATTAGATTAAATATTGGATTCTGACGCGAAAATGTTTTTAAATTTAAAAAAAAAAAATAATAATAATAATTAAATATATGTTGTCGTTATGTGCTGTGATAAAATGTATAAAAAAATATAGCCAAGCGCGATCTGCCATACATTCAATTTCATTTGGCCTCTTTTACGGACCCTACCCCTACATCACTACTTTTCTCTTCTTCTTCTTCTTCTTCTGAATCCTTCGAAATTTGCAGAGGTACTTCATTTCCTTTCCTTTTCTTAGTCGAATTTCTGTTCCAATCATTCTTTCCAACTATTTTTCCTTCACCTCGAATCGATTCGTTTGTTCGCCTTTCGCCGTCGATTGAAAGAAACTCCCACTCACTCCTCTTCTTCTTCTTCTTCTTCTATCACCGCCAACACTTCCTCTTTCTCTCAACGCCGCCATGGTTTTTCCAACTTCTATATTCACGATTCTCGGTGTTCTTCTTCTCTGGATTTTGATAATCCAGGGATTTGGATCCCACGCTCAGTTTTTGCCCGAAGCCGAAGGTACGGTCCTCCGCTCATCCTTTTACAATTTCTGCAATTTTCATTTCACTCTCGATTTTTGCTTGTTTCTGGATTTCTCTTTTTCTCTCGAATTTTATGCGGTTTAGGAGAGGCTGGAGCCTCTGAACTCTAGAAAAAGTGAAAATTCCTTTTGTTCTGTGCGATTTTGGAGAAAATAGAGTGTTAATTAGATTCGGCTTGCTCCTTTTCTTTCCGTGATTTTACTTTCTGGAATCCGAGAGAGAAAATCTCATACCTCCATTACTGATTAGTTTACTACATTCCTTTCTTGTTACTCCATTTTGTTTTGCCCTAATTTTCTGAGTGCTACCAGAGACTTGCTTAACTACTGCAGTCAGTTTTTTCTCGATGATTTCCTACGCATTGTGTCCACGTGCTATGCTATTTTCCCGTATTTTTCTCAGCAACCAATCAGTAGCATTGTTATAATTTATAAATTCTTTATTTTCATACAAGACACGTATACGTATTTTTAAAGTTAGATTGATGGATGCTAAGAATAAATTAGTAAGGTAAAATAAAAGTTAAATAAAGTGAATTTTAACCTTTGATTTCATCATTCCTAATCGTGGATTAGTTGGGTCAGATTGCAAAAACAAGTTATTATTATACTATTAAAATTAAAATTATTATTATTCTTATTTTATATTTCAAGAAATTAAAAAGTCAAATTATTCTTTTCAGAACGAATATAAAATATCTGGGATTTTCAGTAATATCAATATTCATCGTTCTTCCCTAAATTTAGAAAATTACTCGGTCTTATTTTTTCTTTAAATTGTAGGTAATAGGTTTAAAAAGATAAAATAAAATATCGAAATAAACTTTTTTTTTTCCTTAGAAATTGAAAAATATTAATGGAAGGGAAGTCACAACAAATAAAGTATTTTTTCCTTCATTTGTTAATAATTTTATTAATTGGTGTGTTGACTTTTGTTAATTGATGGGTTGACTTTTTCTAATTAGTATATATAAGTTTCATGTTTTAAATAATATCTAGTTTGTCTATTTACAATATTTTAATAATATTAAAAAAATTTATTAGAAATTTAATTTTTTTTTCCGACCTAATTGATAGTTTTGAATTTATTTGGAATAAAATTGAGAAAAAAAAGCATATTTTTTTGAAAAATAAAATGAAAAGTTGCAACTTTTTACCAAATGATAACTGAATTTATTAAAGTATGTCTCTGAATATAAAACTTGGTTCCTTGAACACAACTTTTCTATTCCATTTTAATATCTATATTTTCAAAATTTAAAATTTATTCATTTAATTTCTATATTTATTTAAAGTATAATTTTCATATTTAAGAAAAAACAAAAAAGATGGGGGATTCTGAGGACCCACATTTAAAGCTAAACAGGGACTAGGTGGGCTCCTATCCTGTCGCCGATACCAAACTCATTCAACCCTATTTGTTTATCTTTTTTTATAAATATTTTAAAAGCAAGATAATATTTTTAAAACAACAGTTTTATATCATTTTATAATTTTTATAGATAAGTTAGAATATATTTTTCTTCCCTTTCAGAAAAAAAAAAAAAAAAAAAGAGAAGAAAATATAGAAAAAGACGGTCTAAAAGATAATTAATGATTTGAATGTCAAGTCTCTTGTCTCAATAATATCATTTTGTTGTGTTAAAAGACTTATAAATTCCACGTTCTTATCAATTAATTATTCCAAGTCCACACTTTGTAGTTGAGTGTAGTGTAGTCCTAGGTAATGTGGTACACTTGATTAGTTTTTTTTTCTTTTAGAACTTTAATTATAATTTTATTTTTTGTTTTGTTCTGTTCTTTAGACACTGTAGCATCCTAAGTTTTCTGTAGGAACAGGTCTTTACTAAAGACATGTGACAAGGTCACGTTCGGCCACTTGTTTTGTAATTACTCTCAAATTCAGCTACTTTTAAATGAGCATTAAATTATTCAGCTCCCAGATTGGTAATAATAATCGGACAGCTCAGCAAGCTCAAGATTTGTTCTCCCCACTTGGTTTTGGTGGAGCGGTATTAATTCCTCTCCAATTTGAACACCGCTAACTTTTTGCAGTGGTAATAGACCGTCCCATTCTTTTGACCAACTTCTCTGACCACCCCATTTCTTCATATCTGCATTTACTGTATGTTTATTGAATACACTTGCTTTGACTTTCTCCCATCCATCTCTTTAATTACTTAAATTCATACTATTAGAGGATTGAATCCTGATCATTTCTGTCTTTTTTTTCGTCTGAAGTATCAATATTTGAAATGAAATCTAAACAGAATCTAAAACTAGCTAGAAAAGAAAAAGGAAGTGGGAGGGAGGATCCACTGAGCCAGTCTGGCTCTTACAATTCCATGGACTTAAACCGAGGGAAACGAAGCATTCCTTAAAAGAGTGTGAAAACCCTCCCGAAGACGCGTATTAAAATTTTGAGGGAAAGTTCGAAAGAAAAAACTCAAAGAGGACAATATCTGCTAGCGATGGCTTGGACTGCTACTATCTCTATCGTTAGAACTAGAGCTTCTATAGTTTGAATTGTAACTTGCATATAATTCTTTGGTTCTGAACTAAGATAAATAAATCACTTCCTGAATTTGTGTCTTGATTCGTTGTGCCAATTCGTTTGTGTTGAACAGTGAAAGCCCTTCAAACAATATCTTCGAAACTTAAGAATTTAAGCTGGAATGTTACCCGGACTTCTTGCATTCAAGGTGAAGGCTTTTCCAATGGAGCTTTCCCGGGAAACCAAATCATGAGGAATGTCTCATGCAATTGTACTTCCACTGTTTGCCATGTGACAATCATGTAAGAAGCGTATTTCCTTTCCCCATTGATGTGCTTCTAATCTACCAATTGGAAACAGCCATAATACTAGCTTCTTCCCCTTACTCTTTTTCTTTACATGTTTTCTTCTATTGATATCTTATTTATTGTTATTTCACAGCCTGCTTAAGGGTCTCAATCTAACAGGAACTTTTCCAGATGAATTTGGTAATCTTACGCATCTGAAGGAACTGTAAGTGCTGGAAACTGTCTCTCTTTATTGTGTTAGATTCAAACATTCGAGTCTCCCATTGATGTTTGGAAGTCTGATATCTCTTAAACGTTTGATTTCCAGTTAAAATATAGAATTCTAAGCGAAGTTTCTTTGATTAAACAGTGATCTTACTCGCAACCATATTAATGGCCAACTACCCACTAGTCTTGCCAATGCTCCTCTTGTCAAACTGTAAGTCATATATTGGACTGGATTTCTTAGGCATTTTCTTAGCTGATAATCATAAAAAAATTTACTAGTTTGTTGTGTGTTTATCGGTTCCATGCAGTTCTCTCTTGGGAAACAGGCTAAACGGTTCAATTCCCAAGGAAATTGGTGACATTGGCACCCTTGAAGAGCTGTAAGTGATGAAAAGAAAAAATATAGTGTGTAATTAACTAAGATTTTAGGGTGTTTGATGGCATTTCGGTTGCAGGGTCTTGGAAGACAACCTGTTAACTGGAAATCTACCTCCCAACCTTGGAAATCTGAACCGTTTGAACAGACTGTGAGTCGCATGTCCTTTACCTCTCTTTTTCTGTTGGGTGGAAATTGCCATATTCGGACAATGTAAGGAACTGTTTCTTACCACTGTAGGCTTCTGTCCGCAAACAATTTCACAGGAAGAATACCAGACTCATTCGGAAAATTAAAGAACTTGGTTGATTTGTAAGTTACCAAGAGACAAAAATTTAGTCTTCCACTGTTTTATAAGACTCCATAATTTCTAAGTTCTTAATTAATGTCTGCAGTAGGATAGATGGGAATGGAGTGTCTGGGAAGATTCCTGAATTCATTGGGAATTGGATCAACCTTGACAGACTGTGAGTTTCACATCTACTTTGCAATATTTTCTCATTTTTATTTGCACTAGTGCTAATATTACAGATTATCAAGGCATTTCTGAAAAGTTTCTTTTCCAGGGATATTCAAGGAACATCAATGGAAACCCCCATTCCTTCTACAATTTCTCAATTGAAGAACCTAACTCAATTGTGAGAATCTCTCAGATTTCGAATTACTGCATGGAATACTCCCGTTGTGTTGGATTGCTTTTTATCACCCCCTCCCCCATTTTTTATTATTTATGTGTGTGACTTGTTTAACAGGAGGATATCTGATTTGAAGGGATCATTTATAAGTTTCCCCAATTTGACAGATCTGATAAATATGGAAGAATTGTAAGTTGAAAGTATCTTAGTTTGTTGTCTATATCTTAGAAAAATTCAATTTATAATTACATTTTAATAAAGGGTTTTCCTTTTCATGCAGGGTCCTGAGGAACTGTTTAATTAATGGTTCAATCCCTCAGTATATTGGAGAAATGAATAAATTATCAACTCTGTAAGTGCTTAGTGTCTGATTCTTGTGTACAAATGCTGACAAGTACATTGCGCCTTTCCAAATTCATCATAAATTTTCAATTTTACACCTATTAGTCAGCCAATGGCCCAAGTCTAACCTTAAAATTGTCATTAATTGAATCATAAACTTGAATAATTGGTAACGTATATCTCATTGGTACTAATTAGTTGCTTGTGGATCATGAACAGGCTAATTAGTTTTTTCGTTTTTTTTTTTTTTTTTTTTTTTTTCTTTTGCGCTCTTATAGGGATCTAAGCTTCAACCATTTAACTGGTCCAATTCCAGCGACATTTCAGAATCTGATCAAGAGAAAGATAGACTTCATGTTAGTGGATAATTGGACACTTCCACTTTGGTTTCAGGATATTATTTGTACACCACTATCAACAATGCATTGAATCAAAACCTAATTGATGCAGGTTTCTCACAAACAACTCACTGAGTGGTGAAGTGCCCGGTTGGATTTTGAGGAGCAAAAAGAACATGTCAGTTTACCATATAGCCATATATTGACATTCTAGTGGGCAGTGAAGAATTTTGGATTACCGTAGCATGATTATTATTTATGATATATATGTTGGATTGTTGCAGAGATTTGTCTTACAACAATTTTTCAGGGTCTACTCTTGCTAGTTGCCAACAGTCACCTGTGTAAGCTTCTCTATTCCAATGAAAGCAAGGAAAAAAGTCATTAATATTTTCTGCTCTGATAAGTATCTTCCCCACTAAAATTACATGATGGCGTTACCTTTTATTTACTACAGGAACTTGGTAGCCAGTTACCCACCTGCAGCGAATCATCAGTAAGAAATAAGATAGTCTTTTTCTCCCTTTCTTGATTGCATGTCAAACTTGAGTGAAATGACTGATTGGATTTCTGAACTTGCAGAGTTCCTTGGTGCCTCAAGAAGGACCTTCCATGCTCCGGAAAAGCTGAATGTAAGCAGATCAAGATCTAGATAATGGACCATGGCCCCTTATCTTCTCCAATCCAAACACTATTCATCATATCATATATATATATATATATATACTTCAATTATTTGATCTAGATCAAGATCAGATCAGGTGTTCTGTCATGGATCGTAGTTTGAGTGTTTGATCATATATTGTTCTCATTGCAACTGCAGATCATTCCTTGTTTATTAATTGTGGAGGAACCAGATTGAGGGCTGATGGGCATGATTATGAAGAGGACTTAACTACAGAGGGCAAGTCAAATTTCTTTTCTGTTTCAGAAAAATGGGCTTATAGCAGTACAGGAGTTTTTCTGGGTGATGAAAATGCCGACTACTTAGCTACAAATAAATTAGGCCTGAATGTGAGTGGTCTTGGCTATAACCAAAATGCCCGTCTTTCCCCTCTCTCCCTCAAATATTATGGTCTCTGCCTGCGGAGCGGAAGCTACAATGTGAAGCTCCACTTTGCTGAAATTATGTACTCTAATGATCAAACTTTTAGTAGCCTGGGAAAGCGTATATTCGATATATCAATTCAAGTGAGTATTCAACCAGTTTAGTGTGTGGATTTCATTTTTGCAGTGAACTTATTATTTTCAAAATTTCTCGATTTAGCTTAGATATGAATGAAGATAGATTAAGAATTTCAGTTGTTCATCAGCCATACTACATTCCACAGGGAAAACTAGTCAAGAAGGATTTCAATATTGTGGAGGCAGCTGGGGGTGTGGGTAAGAACTTCACAGTGGAAGATAAAAATGTTTCTGTCAATGGCAGTACCCTTGAGATTCATCTATATTGGGCTGGTAAAGGAACCACAGCAGTGCCAGACAGAGGAGTTTATGGACCCCTTATTTCTGCAATCACAGTTACACCAAGCAAGTTCTTTCTTGCACTTTTTCATGATCTTTCCCTTCTTTTAGATGTTCTATAAAATCACTTCTAATTGATATAATTATTTTTGTTATAGACTTTAAAATTGACGAGGGAGGACTATCAGCTGGAGCACTTGCCGGCATTATAATTTCTTCATGTGCAGTACTCATCATATTGGTCGTTGTATTTCTTTGGATGAAAGGTTACATCTGTAAGAAGGAAGTCCCAGCTAATGGTAAAGTTGTTTAGTGTTAACTATACTGAAATTTTGTGTTTCTTTCAGCTATAGGTACTAGAAAAATTGAAAATTTTCTTCTTTTTTCCCTTGCTATAGAACTTTCTGGCGTAGATTTACAAACGGGTCATTTTACATTGAAACAAATTAAAGCTGCCACCAACAACTTTGATCCTAAAAGTAAAATAGGCGAAGGTGGATTTGGGCCTGTCTATAAGGTAACTGAAAGCATTTCAGTTCTTTTGTAAGCGAGAAGATAGTATATGTTGCAAATTTTGTTACAACCTTAAACTCTTAACTTGAGATGTTCTTCTTTGGTCAAGGGTAGGGTGTATTGTCTGATGGCGTTTTGATTGCTGTAAAGCAACTCTCCTCGAAATCGAAGCAAGGTAGCCGTGAGTTTGTCACTGAGATTGGGATGATATCTGCATTGCAACACCCAAACCTAGTTAAGCTCTTTGGCTGCTGTGTTGAGGGAAATCAATTGTTGCTAGTATATGAATACATGGAAAATAATAGTCTTGCCCGTGCGCTTTTCGGTAATAGCATGAGTGGCATCTTTGGTTTTGTGAACCGACTCTTTGAGATTGGTATGATCAACTAAATCTTGTCTCGCTTGCTTCTTTTTGTTTTACTTAAGGTCGGGAGGAACAAAGGCTACATCTTGACTGGCGAACAAGGAAGAAGATATGCTTGGAGATAGCTAGGGGGTTAGCATACCTTCATGAAGAATCAAGGTTGAAAATTGTTCATAGAGACATCAAGGCCACAAATGTGCTGCTCGACAAAGATCTTACTGCCAAGATTTCTGACTTTGGTTTGGCCAAGCTTGATGAAGAGGAGAACACCCACATCAGCACACGAATTGCTGGAACCATGTACTCTCTCTCTCTCAAATGTGCTACTATGATATTCCCTAAATTAGCCAATGTGAAACTCCCTTCCAACCATCCTCAACGGTGCTTGCATGCATAAACTTATATAGATGTGTGTAACTCTGAAGTTAACCTAGTTATCATTCTTAAGCATTCAAGAATTGATGGTACTAATTTCTCAGATGATACCATTAATATTTGTACTTCGGTTTTTTTTTTTTTTGTCTTCAGCGGTTATATGGCACCAGAGTATGCAATGAGAGGATACTTGACAGACAAGGCAGATGTTTACAGCTTTGGAATTGTTGCTTTAGAGATAGTTAGCGGAAAAAGTAACACAAATTACAGGCCGAAGGAAGAGTTCGTCTATCTTCTTGATTGGGTATTTGCCCACTCACTACTTAATCATATTTTCATTTCACATTCTCTGGTTTTCTAGTCCTTGTTCGATAGAGGGCATTAGATAATGAATGATTTTGTTTTGTGTTTGGTACTTGAAGGCCTATGTACTGGAAGAACAGGGTAACCTTCTAGAACTGGTAGATCCAGACCTTGGTTCAAATTACTCATCAGAGGAAGCAATGAGGATGCTGAACATAGCTCTGTTATGCACCAACCCATCTCCCACGCTCAGGCCAACCATGTCTTCCGTGGTGAGTATGCTTGAAGGCAATATTCCAGTCCAAGCTCCCATCATCAAGCGCACTGCATCAGGCCAACATCCAAGGTTTAAAGCGTTTGAGATGCTCTCACACGAAAGCAGATCGCAGATTTCAAGCTCAACGTTTTCGGGAGAAGCTGCTGAGGCTCAGAAAAGCATGTTAATGGATGGGCCATGTACGGATTCCGCAGTATCCACTGACAGCAATGACAAGAATCTCTACCACTCTGCATCCAGTGATCCCATCCAAAATCATCGTCGTGTTGATGATCTCAAACCGTCAGATAAGTAATTCATGGAACACCATATTTATATTTACTTCTTTCATTGCAAGCTCTATTATTTAAGTCATTTGATTCTTTGTACAAATGAAAGGAAATGCTCTCTCAAATTGGTTATATTTGTTTTGGCAACATACTTGTGTGCATACTGCATACACTGTCTTTTGGCAGAACAAATGAGATGAAATGAACTGTAAACAAATTGAATTATATTGGAAAATCTGATCATTCTTACCCTTTTTATACTTTAAATTAATAAATATACTCCCAAACTTTCGAACTATGTGTATGAAATTGATGCACATCTTGAACATAAGAAATGAAGTAAAACGAAGTTCAAGACCTTGATTTTAGGTCTCATTAGGAATGGAAGACATGTTTGTATGTGTTTGCATTTGTCTAATACTCAATCTCTTTCAAACTTTTTTTAAGGTAAGATCAAGAGTATTTTCTGCGACTCATAGTGATTGCTATACAAGTCACGATAGAGATTGAGTTTAGCTTATGCATTGTTTTATATATTTTTAATGCTACAATTAAGAACCAAAAGATTCTTGGTATGTGTGTGTATATTTATAATGATTCAACCCTTTTTTCAATGATACAAAGCACTAAGAACAATGATGAAAGAAGACATGGCTGTCAAAGAGATGAAGGTTTCTATATCAAATAATTGAAGTGTATATGAATAGTGTTTGGATTGAAGAAGATAAGGAGGAGGCCATGGTCTATGGAGTGTGATCAACAAAAGGGTAACATTATAATTGAGATTGAGAGCGACTTCCCAATGCCCTTATTCCATTCTCTATGCCTACAGAAGCCCCAAATTCTGTCTCTCCATACCTACTTTTCTTTTATGCTTTAGCCCTCCACTAATAAATATTTTGTTTTAGTCCCTAAATTTTTTTTATTTATTATTATTATTGTTTTTTTTTTTTTTGTATAAAAAGATAGTGCCCATAAAATTTTCATGAATGGTGTAGATTTCGAACATAAAAGTTCATAGGGTAGACACAAAAATAAATGTTCAGAAATCTATATATTAAACATTTTTTAAAGTTTAGAAAGTTATACACAAACTAAATATAACTTAAATCTATATTAATCTGAAATGTAATATTACAAAATTTAAGGTCTAAAAAAAGCGTACAATTTGAACTTAAAAAGGGTAAGCACAAGAGTTTCAAATTCAGAATGATGGAACAAACTAAAGGCTGAGAAATTGTTGAAGGTGTTTAAACTGGTGCAGGACAAAGAATGATAACAACAATGACATCATTGAAGAAACAAAAAGTTGCACTCTCTCGATATCCATAAAAGTTCAGCCACTGTTGCATATGGATTATCTCATCAGCTCATTCAGCATTTTATCTATGACTTATGAGCCAAAGATTGAAGACAAAGCAACTCATGCATATACGACACTAACAGTAGAATTTCAGGTTTGAAAAGTAAAGGGCTTTGAACCACTTGAACATCTGTATATATGACTTAACGAGGGAAAATTAAAATTTGAAAAAAGAATAATAATGGTGATGGTGGAAGGGAGCAGAGCCAGTCACGCTCACCTTGATCATGATCCCAATGTCACAGTTCTCTCACCCAGGATTTGCAGGTAACTATTTCGTAATATGTGCTATCCCCATCACGTTACCTTTAAAGAAATGGGTTGTGAAGTAAGCAAAGAGAAGCAGTTTCTAAAGTAAATGGAGTTTTGAAGGTTGATTGGTATGAACAAACCTGGTCCTTGAGTTCCCAAGAGTCAGCTCTAGGTCATCTGAACCACATTCTTCATGAATCCGTTCTCCTTCCCATGCCTTCACAATTCCTGCGGCATTGCTTCCAAATGCGAACTCATCAGAGATCACTTCTGACATTGGAATATCTGCGGTGTGATCGGATCCTGCTGCAATGGCAGGGGAGCAGGTCCCACTTTGACCAGGGGTCCACATGCGAGATCCTCCTCCACCATTCATTGCTGCTTCCTTGAAACCAAATGGGTTAGTAGAAACAAGACTAAATGTTGGAGAATTGGGCCCACCCTGAGGAATCCTAAGGCCAGCAAACCATTCTGGATTGGGAACAATCTGACGTCCAGGACTTGGAGGAGTAGAAGATGGCAGGGAGGAATTATAGTGTGTACTCCATCCTGGAAGTACAGACTGGTCCTCCCAGTCGGCTCTCAGTCGGGGTGTTCGAGCAGTTGGGGAACTCAGAGGAGGAGTAACAGGTGCACTGATGGAACCGCCATGAATATAGTGATTGGGAAGTTTAGATGAGGATGCCGAAGATGATGAAGATGAAAGGTTTTTGAGCCATGGGATTAGTGAATTGCCATCAGCATTCAAATTAGCGACATATGAGGATGATGCTGGACTTGGAAAAGAAGATGAGCCGGGGCTTGGATTGAATGAAGCACAAGGACTTGGTTGGTGAGATGCGTACAGACTTGCGGATGCCGATCCGCCAACCACATCCATACGTTCAATTGGCTTGCATCCCTGCAAATAGATGAGAGAACATTATAGAGTATGGACAAACTAAAACAGATGATACCATGATGATGGGATAGGATGATCTAGCATGTACAGCCGCTTGAGATCTTCCTCAAGTTAAGTACAATTTAAAAGAAGAACAAAGACTGAAAATCAAGCAACAATCAGCTAAGGGATCATTTCCATCCTAGTTCACCCCAATATATATCAAGCTATAAACAATTCACGTCGTGCCATAACATGTATGATTTCAATATTCCCCCAATTTCTCTAGTGCAGGTTAGATGCAAATGCGATTCAACAGGTTATAGGACGTCAGCGGGTACTTTACTTCCGGAACCTAAAATAATGAAACTGCAAAATTCAATAAAAGAAGGAATCCGTGACAAGACATAGGAGTAGAGCCAACTCCAAAAGGAAAGGAGAGAGACAGAGCTGATAAAGGCACTGTTTGTGTCGCCAACTTGCCATTGAAAAGAAAAGCAAAAAAGAGAAAGATCCCTCTGACTAAATCTGCCACCATATAAAGGAAGAGCGGTTACCAGGCTAAATATCAGCCAAAAGTCCTGAAAATCACAAATCCATATGATGATGGTTAAATGAAGAAGGGCACTTCCTCGAGATCTGCGTAGTCCCATGGCCTCGGATTATTAGGCATCGAGAGCCTAAAAAGAAGCATGAAGAATCTTGTGCTTCACGCGTATAAGGGATAAAAAGAAATCAAAACGTCTACCTGACCGCAATTAGATGACCTGACGCCGACGAAGAAAAGGAACACAAAAGGGGCAATGGGTCAAAAAGGGATACAATACAACGCTCCTCTGGTTGTTCAAAATGATGATGACTGCCCTTTAGAACATGGAACTTATACTAGACTCAAACACCTTGATACTCCATTTTCAATTTTCCCGATTGGAATTCTCAACCAAGCCATGGATTCTTGGAACAACTAAACAGGACCGTCCAATTGGCTCAACTAATACGAGGTTAATAATGTATCTTTCAACTCAAAGCTAAAGAAAGTGGTATCACTATTTTCATCAATATTAAAGAGATGCAAACGAAATTGAATCGACTTCAAGTGAACAGAATGAATCCCAAACAACAAAAAGAAACATAGTTACCTTACGATAAGTGGTACCATCAGGTTCGACGGTCCATCCTGCCTCGTTGCAGAGAGCTTTAAGCACCTCATTGTTATCGCAATGCTTGGGAAGCTTGTAGTTGCCATACATCCTGAGTCCAGCGAAGATCTTAGCCGCTATAGCTCTTCTCCTTCTCTCCCTTCTCTTGTTGTTCTCCCGCTCCCTCCATGTTGGTAGCCTCGTCCCCGACGTCATTTCCACTCCACACACACACACACACACACACTCAACCAACAACCTGAAGTTCTCACAGCTTCAGCAGATAGATCAGAAAGCAATTCTTTCGAATTGCCTCCGTCTATCTCAAGATGAATATAATACAATTATAATTACAAAAAAAAACTTCACAGCAACACAGAGAAGAAATCTTTCAACAGAAATCAGCTAGAGTCCAAGGATCGAAACACGAATAAATTGACAGGGTAAAAACGTCTCCCGCAACTTCGAAGTACTCAAATCGGACACGAAAGACAAAAGTTTAGGAAACGGAATTCCGTGAGGCTCTGAAACAACCAATGAATCGGGCTGAAAGAAAAGTACAAACCGCTGAATAATCAGACAAGAAACATCGAAGAAGTAGAAGAAGAGCTGAGAGATATCCGAATCCGATACCCGCCGGAGGCTCCGGATAAGCGACGGCGATGGGATCTTAGATCGGACCACCGTGGACGGCGGAAGAAAGTGAGTTTTTTTCTTCTTTGACAAAGCCCGGGAAATTAGAGGAGAAGCATTTCCATGAAAATGGAAGGGATCGAAGAACAGAACAGAACAGAACAGAAACTAAATGAGCTGAAGGGCATTTTATTAACCAATATTACCCTTTTATTTACCATTCTGCCACTCTTCCCTTTTTCAGTAAATCACTCCGTCATTTTCCATTCACTTTTTTTACTCTCCCTTTCTTTTTTCTTTTTTTCTTTGCCTTTAAAACTTTTTATTTCGGAAAGTAAATAAAATAAAATTTGTATTGTAAAAATGTTTCTTTATTTTATAGAATCTCACAAATGCTTTTTTTTCTTTCTTTTTTATTATTACACATTTATGAAGTTTAAATTTATTTGTACGTCTGACTAACGATTTTCATCCACCACTAAAGGAATCATTAGTGATAATCACCAATAAAAGTCGTCAGAGTGATCGTTCAGGAGGAGTTATCAGTGTGGTCTCGGACAAAAATTGCTAGAGGAAAAAATAAATATTTGGTGTAATTTTTTACTTTCAATTTTAATTTCAATTTAAAAGTTTAATAACAAAAAAAATATAATTAAAATAGAGTAGCATTTTTATAAAAATGGGATTTTAGTAATAAAGTTTAATAATGTAATTAGTGAAAATGGGAGTGGAAAATAGGTAAATAGAAAAGAAATATAAAAAAAATAAATAAATAAAATAATGGAAGGGGGTTAAATAACCGTCTATGACAGAAGAACCAAAGGGAGTTTGACACGTGGCGGATGTAGGGAGCGGTGTTTCTCAACGGTCTCTGTCAATTGCGACACGTGGCGGAGTCCGGCCCACGTGAGAGAGACAATGGAAGTCGGGTCGGGTTGGTTAATTATTGGGTGTATGAAGCAGCAGTACATACTGATGGGGACGCGGGTGGTGCTTGGCTCTGCGTTGTCTGCTTTTTTCACGTGACCCTCCCACCCTCATACCACGCCAATTAGCACGACTTTTTATCTGTGGGCCCCACACCCACCCCTACTCCCTCTTTTTTTTTTTTTTCTTTTTTTTTTTAATTTATAAATTTCATTTTAAATTATATAAGTTTTAGTAAAAAATGTAGTGAATGAGCTAAATTAACAACATTTAATATATTTACTTTAATAATTGAATCATTAATTTTAGTATCTATCAAGCTAACAAACAAATGTTTTTTTCTTTTTAATTTTTATTAATAAAATTCAATTTTTTTTATTTAATGTAGGAGAAAATCTCCTAAATTTATGAATTTGTATCTTTTTTTTTTACCAATTATGAGAATATTTGACATAAATTTATTAATTTTAATACGTAATAAATTTATGATTATCTATTTTATTAAATCCTACTGAATTTGATAAATTTGTTAGTCCATGAAATTAGAATTTTATTTTAAATGAAGTTATATCTAATAGTAATTACATAGACTTAAAGTTCAAAAATGAAAATGAAAAAAAAAAAAAAAAGCATAATTCTATCAAAGAATTAAAATGAAATTAAAACAAAATTAACAATAATAAAAAATAATGGAGAAATAAAAGAAATAAAAAGTTTAAAGAAAAGGGAGTGCGTGAAGTCACGCGCCAAGGGATAGCGAGTGAAGAGGATGGAGAACAAAAGCACGTGCAAAAGCTGAGGGAAGACTGGTCAACACTTTGACTCTCCCACATTTTCTATTCTTATCCTAACACTCCAAGTATATGCTTCACTTTTTAATACATAAATGTTTTTTTCTCATTTATTTTTTTATATTTTAATTAATATCTATTTTATTAAATATTCACAACCAAATTAAGCCACCTCAGACAGATAATGTTAAAATGTTAAGTGATAAATTATACCCAATTTAAAAAAAAATTATGCAAACTTACTGAATTTTAACACATTCACCAAACAAAAAATATGGCGGTAAAATTGGTTATTATTATTATTTCCTTTTTATTCATTTCAATTCCTTTTAATGATAATAATAATAATAATAATAATTATTATTATTATTATTATTATTCCAAAACTATAAGCACCAAAAAAAAAAAAAAAAAGTTATTATCATTACAAAAAGAATAAAATTTTTTCTCTTTTTAAAAATGCAGCAAAAAATCTATTATTTAGTGAAATTTTCCTAGTATAAAATTGAAAAGAAAGTTGAGACTTTTAAAAGACGAGTGAAATTACTGAAAACGATATTAAAAGTTGCCGATGAATGATTGACGGGTTAGATGACGAATGAGATTATATATTTTACAAATTTTGATTCTAAAAAAAAGTAACGAACTTTAGCATCACATGGATTGTCTACTCTACTACCAACAATGATTAATTGTGAAAGTAACAAAATCCAAACTCAGCTCAATAACCAAGCAAGGCAATGAATTTGTATCCATAGAGAGCAGCCTTTTCTTTGTACAAATGACTGAGAAAAAGCAATTTTGCAAGCACTTTCTACACCATTTGGGTCCTCTTTCCCATCTCTTGGGGCTTTTTTAATGCTTTTTCAAACAAAGCATACCAAAATTGTAGCTTTCTCTTCAGATGCTTCTTGATTCTCTCCCAATTATCTTAGTTTGGTTCATTGTTTTTGCTATTAATGGTTTGTTTTTAAGCTATTTTGAGATTGAGTTTTAGATTCGAAGAGAACTTTCAGTAGTTCTCGACATCTCTTATGGGTCAAACAAATGTTATTGTTCATGGGGCTGTTAATCTTTTCAAATAAAATAAAAAATATAAGGTTTTGATGAAAATGATTGCAGATACTTGTGACTATGAAAGCCATTCATTCAATGTTGTTTTCAATGACATGCTTTAATCTCTAAATTTTGCATAAAATAACTGTGGTGAGCATAAACAAGTATTTAAAAGCTAAATAAAACAATTGAAAATTAATGAACAAAACAGAGATTTAAACTAAAAATATAACAATGAACACATCATTAAAGAAAAACAAAACTTGGATAAGCTGAAAATCAAACTCATACCACATTTAAAATGAAAAACGCCTATAAAGATGAAAAAAGCAGTGCTTCACACTATTGTGCTCTTTTTTTGTGCTATATACGACATTCAATCTTTGAGTCTTTCATCGAATCTTTATTTATACAAGTAATCAAGTAATTTAAGACACTGCTAAACTGGCAGAAGGGTTTTTTTTTTTTTTTTTTTTTTTTTTGTACAAGAAATGTGAAAAGGGATGTTGCACTTTGTCCATTTTGAGAAAAGCATCTTACAGGAAGTTAATGGAACCCAAGAGATCACAATGAATGCATTAAATCGATCAGCTCTGTAGAAGATGAAAGAAAATGAGGAAATTATTGCATTTATATTAACAAAAAGTTAATGTTCATGACAAATAATTAATTTCTGCCCAAACCATTTGAGACCAAAATAAGACTTAAACCTTTGCAATTTATATACAATGCATATTGCATTTCAACTTGAGGAAAAGTAGTCAATTTGAACATAATAGTTAAGGTATTATAACCTCGACCAATATGTGAGAGATTTGAATTTTCACCCTACATATAGTTGAACTAAAAAGAAAGGGAAACCATAGTTACCTCTTTATGAACTGTCACGAATCAAATTGGTTGGTTCACTCAAAACATATTTGGGCAGTTCATATTTGGCACCTGCAATAAGATTGGGCAATGATAAAAATGATATTGATGGTTCAACTAAAATAACATATCATAATTTCTTGAATGAAGCAATGGTATGGACCTCTCTCATCGTAACAAACTGTTAAATCTGCATTTTGAACGATGACCCCAGCACTGTCTATGATTGCTTGCGCTAGAGATAGCTCTGCTTCAGCAGCTGCTCGTAGTGCATCCCAAATCTCTGATATCAACGAAAATTGTTGGTAAATTTTAGTAAGCAGGCCGTGAAGGACAAAGTAATGTATAAGAAAGGTGAGGTCAATGTTGAAGACTTGAAGGGTGTGTAGTAGCCCAAGGATGGAAATAAAATAAAAGAAGATAGAGACTGAAGAGGCTTGATCTTCCTTTCCTCTAAGAGACATTGAAATACTTTTAGGTGAATTGGAAGTTCTAGAATGCTATTTTAGAAATTGTGCTCACTTCTAACTCATCTTAGAAGTCCAAACCTTTCAATGTCTTTTAACACAATTTTCAAATCACGGTTGTTTGGGTAAGTCTTTTTCTAGAGAAGAGACAAATTTAATTGATGAATGAAATAACGGAGTAAAAAATTCAAACACCAATAGGTGAGTTACATATAGACGCCAATTTAAAATCAAAGAAGAAAGACTTGGCAGTCTTTATTATTCATGTTTCTCATGATTTGTCTTTGATCCTCCCTAATTTTCTCGATTAGAAGCCTGCCTTATGATCCTTTTCATACATTGACTTTCAGAAAACTAAATAATGGTGCCCTCTCATTATATTAGTGTTCTCTTTATTGGAAGGCCTGTGAATTAGTCAATCATCTTTTTCTCTTGTGAATTGTGATTTTGGTACAAAATCCTACATCATTTCCATATTTGTTCGGGATTCCAAAGAGATACCCTCACTCTATATCTTGGGGAGATACGTTAGAGGATTGACCAGTAGAAGATTGTAGGATCTTTGAAACTGACACTTTATTTGGCTATTTCCAACAACCATATACCTGGGGATCTAACGTTTCAATTGGCAACTAAGATCAAGTTGTTTTCTCTTGGAAAAAAGCATTTAATAAGATAGTGAAAATTAACAGAAAATAGTGATGTGTATCAGAAACCTTCATAAAGGTTAAAGTTTGCATCAAACAGCAAGAATGTAGTCGAGGACAAAGTTCGGGCCAAAAGAGTTTGACCTTGAACTACAAATAGCATTGCTTTCAATCTAGTATGCAATGGGGAAAAATCAGTCGGGGGAAGTGAAAGGTGAAGGTTGGAGAGAAATAATAACTAATGTCTCTTAGCTCAAATCAATAACAGATTGCAAGATACATTATGAGCGAAGAGAAATTCGAATGAGGCAGGCCATTTCAAAATTTTGTGGCGATTATCAATGGGCTTTCAGGAAGCTTTTTTACGAAAATACTAAAGGCCACTAAAAGGCACAAGAAAAGGGAAAAGAAACACGAAGAAAGAAAACAAAATAACAAGAAGCCGGCCCAAAACATAAACCAACAAAAGATTAAGTCCAGACACAAGTTTCTATAGTTACAAGTTCCATAATCCTAGGTAAAATCACATAATGAGTACTCTAAGCATAAGAAAAAAGAAAATCATTTTGGTGTAACCTAAGCTCTCATAGAGAGTCCTCAAAAGAAATCTTGGCTTACAATTGAAACTGATTCTAAAGATGTATCCATTCAAGAACTAAAAGCCAATATTCATAAAATACTTATTGGCTAACTAAGTAATAAAAAAAACTAAATCAATTGGACCAAAAACTTTAACGAACTCTCAGAAGCACATTTCTTCCCAGAAGTATCCCCCTTCGAAATGGGCACAAACTGAAATGAAATAATTGGAAAAGCCTACATGTGAAGTGAAATTCTTGGATGTTGGTAACGGCAATCTGTAATCGGCACAAAAATAGGAAACCTTATCTCCCAAACCGAGAACTTAGTTTATTAGGAAACAGGGAAGACAAATGGTAGGATCCTAGAAATTGGAAAAAGGTCCAATAATTGTGCATACAGCTGTGAATGACATCATTGTCATATCCAAGAGATAATTCGTCCCAACCTTCATTGGATCCCCTGCAACTACAGTATTCACCCTTTTCCATGAATGTGATGGTCATCTATCCGTAGTTTTACATTTCTATCGAGAAAGAAAGTAGATTCTGAAATCAGAAATCATGAAATACTTGATATAATCTGCAAGGCTTATTCCTAATTAGCTAAACTCTCAGTAATTCCTTTGATCAGCTAACCTCTAAAAAACCATGAAGACTTTAACACTGGCACAAATATGTTAGAGACAGGACTACCATTTCGGCCACCATAGTGAGGTGCTGTGTCCCAAAACTCATCCCGTAGCTGCGTGAGCTGAGACCTTGTAATTGGCTGAGGATGCTTCCAAGGTTTTGGCTTGCGTATCTTCTTTGTGGATCCTACACAAAGAAGCAGTTTCAGTCATATGTCAAATGGCTTGAATAAAGTACAAGCCAACTAAACCATGTTCAAGTGTAGCAGCACTGATAACAAAGGGAAGCCTTGAAAAGTTCAAATAAAATTCCCAAACCTTCAGTACTTTAACAACACAAGGAGAATTAGAAAGCTTCGTCCTAAAATTTTCCTATTTATTCTTTCATTTTCTCTACTTTCTTCAAGTGCTTTCTTTCGTTTCAGTATCCTCAGACGTGTTTTCTTCCTATTATACAAGAATTCAGCAATTCCTGTTAATTTTAAGAATTTGTTATGAGAATAGAGATCGGGGAAGGGAGGAATTCATGTACAGCGATACCTTAGCCATTTTGCAAATTAGAAAAGAGTCAAAAGACGATTGACATCCCGCAAACTAGCATGTTGTAACAGAGCTTCTACAAATTTTCGTTTTGATTGCAGTATAAAGTAGAAATATTAGATACCGTCCATTCATATGTTAGTTGCTGAAATTTTAGTCACAAACATGCCAAGATTTTGAATGCAATTCATGATGACTTCATTGATCCGAAACTGAAAGAATCACTAGAGAATTTGAATCACCAGCAGCAACTGTCAATAAATACGCCAGCAGTAATTCTAATCAATCTTTAAAAGAAATCCATCATTCTCAAAATAAATGAAGGATGAAATTATTTCCACAATTTAACTCAATTATCTAAATTGAAAATTTACTATCCTATTTAATGCAAGTAAAGGTAAAGAATCTCGAGGCTTCGAACCACTGTCATAGTCTCAAACAAACAAACGCACACAATCGAGCAACGCGATAACCGCAGAATGAAAATCAAGAAAAAAGACGCAACAAACAAAGAAAATCAAGACCAATCCAATCCATTCCGAACAAATTCAATACCAGAAGACCAACACTCCCGCTCTCCCAACAAATCAACTTGCATTGATTATCATCTATATTCCTCATAGCCAACACAGCAGCCAAACATAGAACAAAAAATCTCCAATAATGAAAGAAAGAATCAAAGAAGCGAAGTGAACCTCACCATCTCCGTTGGTCTGCGACGATCCAACACAGCCCATTGGCCTTTGCTTGAACGCAAGCTACAAGTAGACAGATACAAAGACGAAGCCAGAGAAAAGCAGAAACTCGGTGGAGAGTTGGAATGGAAGAATTTTGCAGAACCGAAGAATAAGCTTTTTGTAGAGGAGGAGGAGGAGGAGGAGGAGGAAAGAAGAAGAAGAAGAAGAAGAAGAAGAAGCTCTGACGAATATTGAATTTAAGCAAATAAGAAATTAGTTTATTTAATTCAATTATTATTATTTAATGTGTTTTTATAATTAAAATTTGTGTGGGATTAAGACAAGGGCGAGGGGGTTGGGGCTGTGAATGCGGTAGTTAGCTGTCACGTTTCTTAAAGGCGAGTCCGAGCTTTTTATTTATACCTTTTTTCTTTTCTACTTCCCTTTTTTATCCATTTAAACGTGAAGTTATTTAGTACTTCACTTTTTTTTTTTTTTATGCATATTTATGTCTAATTTAATTCTTCTTTTTTATTTTCAATAATATATTTTACTCTACAAATTTTTTTGTTTTAATTTACCACTCTCATATAACTCTAAACACACGTTTCTCACATTTTAGTTATTAATGTAAAAGTTAGTAAATAAATAAATAAAAAAAAGAAAGAATAATCCGACAATATAGGTTGAGCTGTGAACTTTATTCGAGTTCTTGAGTCTACAACAGCACATGCCCACCAACCACTAACAAATACTGTTCGTTTTGACCCATTACGTATTGCCGTCAACCCCATGTTTTTAAAACGCGTCTACTAGAGAGACGTTTTATTGTGAGATCCCACATCAGTTGAAAAGTGGAACAAAACATTACTTATAAGTGTGTGGAAACCTCCCCTTAGAATATGCGTTTTAAAATCGTGAAGCTGACGGCTGTACATAACAGGCTAAAGCGGACAATATCTTTTAGTGGTAGGCTTGGGCGAACAATATCTACTAACAGTGGGCTTGGGCTTTTATAAATGGTATTAGAGGCATACACCGAGCATTGTGCCAATGAGGACGTTGGCCCCCAAGAGGGATGGATTGTGAGATCCCACATTGGTTGGAAAAGAGAACGAATTTTCTTATAAGAGTGTAAAATCTTTCCCGAATAGACGCATTTTAAGATTGTGATGTGGACGACAATACATGTGATGTCTCATATTGGTTAGAGAGGAGAACAAATCACGTGAAAAGTAGACAATATCAGCTAACGGTGGCGGGTCACTAACCCATTAAATTGGTTTCAAAGATTTTCCAAGCTCAACCCAATTTATAGTTATTATTTTTATAATATATTGAGCTCCAACTTATGCATTTTTTTTTTTTTTTAATTAATCAAACGTCACATAAAAATGATATTAGAGTTAAATTAAAACAAAAAAAGAAAACAAAAAAAGTGTAAGCTTTTCAAGATGATAATCTATAATATGTGAAGCTAAGGTGAACTCAGATGAACTTGCAATTACTTTGATAGTCGGATGAACTTAATTTTAAGTTCCGAAATTTTACAAATACAGAAGCATCCAAATATAGAATATTACATCAATCTCGAGCTCATTTTCAGTTGCTCGCAACGACGAATCCCTATATAAATCGGGGTCAAAATCGTACCCAATGGGAAGCTAGATCGAGAGGAGTTGAAAGATTCCCAGTAGTTAGAATCCATAGGAAGTATTTGGCTCATACTTATTCCTGATGTTGTAATGTTCCAAGTTTGAATTGTCGTAATTGACTGGCTTCATCTCCATGGGCTTTGGCTCAGGTCCTGCAGCTCCGTGATGGATCTCTGCACTTTTCTCGCGCTGGCGGTGTCGTGGTCTTTCTTTTTGGCTCTTGGACCTGCTATAAGGTGGAGGTATCTCACCAGATTCGTAAAAATCAGCACGGTCGTGACGTTTCGATCGGTGCTTACTTTGCAGTGAGGGATCTTTGAAACTACTTGATTTGAGCTTTGGAGGCTTCATCATCACCTCAGGAACTTGATCATTTGCATTGCCTATATGAGCTTGTCTTGTTTCAGTCAGAGGAACAGGAGCTCTCTGCATTTGAGCTGGTGGTCGATCGGGTTCATCTTCAGGCATCCAGAGAGAATCTTTCAACGGGGTCAGGCCTTTCGGGATGTTACGAGCTCTGAAACGGGCAGGAACAAAAGAAAGGAAAATGCTAGCCACGGCTTCAAGAGCCAGTTTGGAGAGATCAATGATGAGTCGTCCAAATGATGGCCATCCTGGTGTCTCCCTTACACTATCCACAGTCAAGGTCGATTCTTCCTTGTTTGGTTTTTCCCTATACTCAGTCTCTAATGGAGAATACTGCAACAATGGCATTTCATAACGCAAGGAAAATGTTACAAATACAAAGGTGTAATCAAGGTATTCTCGGTTAGTGCAACAGCTCAAGCCCAATGTTAATAGATATCGTCTCTTTGAGCTTTCCCTACTAGGCTTCGTCTCAAGATTTTAAAACGCGTCTACTAGAGAGAGGTTTTCACATCCTTATAAGGAATGCTTCGTTCCCCTCTTCAACTAATGTGTGATATCACAATTTACCCCCTTGGAGGCCCGGCGTCCTTGCTGGCACACGGTTCGGTGCCTGACTCTAATACCATTTGAAACAACTCAAACCCACCACTAGTAGATATTGTCCTCTTTAGGCTTTCCCCCAGGTTTTAAAACGCGTCTGCTAAGGAGAGGTTTCTACACCCTTATAAGGAATGTTTTGTTCTTCTCTCCAACCAATGTGGGATCTCTCAATCTGATGGCGATATGTAACAAGCCAAAGCAGACAATATCTCCTAACAGTTGGCTAATAATTTGGCTATTCATAACTGGTCTGATATCCATTTTGCACTCTTAGTTTTCTAGTTTAAAAAATTCCATCCCAAGAGCTATAAATAACAAAATCACATCAAAACTTGTTGGGGGAATATTTTGAGGATGAGTTATGTTCTCCAGTGTACTGTAGCTGTAGTGGTATTCTAAAATACATAGAGAACCAATTCATCAAAAAATCGATTAAATGAAAACTTACTGTCTGAGACATGCTCGAGGCTCCAAAACCCTGTTGAAGCATATACGTTGCGTATCCCGCCAAAACAGCACCAATGATCATGAGAACATCTGGGGACAAAAGTTTAGGACATTAAGGAACTGAAGACCCTTATAGCTGGTAATGCACAAAAGATGATGCAAACCATGAATGCTTAAACATTGTTTATTTATCACAGATCAACAACCAGGAGGCCAAACATTAGCGGCGATACGAAGTTCATTACCGTGATCAACTGTTCATGAAATTCTAGATAATTGCAAAACAGAAATCTAAGCAGAGTGCTAAACATTCAAATGATGCAAGCTAGGAGGCTTTGTTTTTCCTTTTTTCCAGACCAATCAAGGAGTTTGGAGTTGAGCTGCAATCTTTCTACCATATGCAATATCGATATTATATTTGTATAACAGTCTGAGCATCGGGGCAGTCGCAAAAGCAAATCGATGGACTACTTTCACCCGAGCAATGTGATATCATGAGAAGGTAACATATTTTCTCTTTTTCTCGTAAGAGAGGAAATATATACAGATTCATCTTCATCTCCCAAAAGCACAAAAAATGATCCTTCAGAAATAAATGAAACACAACACAAGGAGATGTTCCATACCACTGTTGGAAATTGAACTATCTTGATATTCACAATCCTCCGGATTTAGAAATATTTGCCGAATCGCAGCATTTCCACGGTCAATAACTAACAAGGAACAAGTAGAACGGATGTACATTACATCAAAATCGTTTGAGAACTTCGCATCTTCACCTGGTCCATCTCTGTAGCCTGCGACATTTGACTTGCCCCCTGCAATGGTTGTCACACCTGCAAAAGAATTTTAACTATCATATGCTTCTTTATATATAAAGATGAATGGTCACATATGCTTCTCTCTTAGATTTTTCAAAACAAGGATCTCAAGTCATAAAAAGGTAAAACGTTCGGCCTTGATTGCAAATGTTTTGGACTAAACAAGTATCGTATGTTTTGTTATTACCGTATAAAACTACCCTTATACTAGAAAACTTGGACAATATGTTATATACTGTGAAATCCCACGTCGGTTGGAGAGGAGAACGAAGCATTCCTTATAAGGGTGTGGAAGCCTCTACCTAGGAGACGCATCTTAAAAAGATCGTGAGACTGATGGCGATACGTAACAGGCCAAAGTGGATAATATCTGTTAGTGGTGGGATTGGGCTGTTACAAATGATATTAGAACCAGACACTGGGCGGTGTGCCAACGAAGACGTTGGGCCCCCAAGAGGGTGGTTTGTGAGATCTCACATCGATTGGAGAGGAGAACGAAACATTCCTTATAAGGGTGTGGAAACCTCTCCCAAGCAAACGCGTTTTAAAACCGTGAAGCTGATGGCGATACGTAACGGGACAAAACAGATAATATCTGTTAGCGGTGAGTTACATATATAATTAAATCTTTTATATACCGTCTTAACACGCTCGTGTCTTGGTTGTCTTAAACTTTATATGAAAGGAGAAAATAACTATTAGGTCTCATAGAAATAACTGTTACTTGTTAATCCAAAAGGAATGCATCAATTACCAGCATCTCCAATCTTTCTGATGGCCAAATTCAAGGTATCAGCAACATACACATTCCCTTTATCGTCCACGGTTACACCCTTTGGATGATTAAAACGGGCGTCGTTTGGTTTTCCATCAACATGCCCCGTGTGGCTTTGAAATGACCCAGCAACCAATCTTGCTCGAGTATCTGAGAAGACAATCAGAATAACAGAAGTGAAAAGTGGAATAAAGTTAGTAATTCATAAATGAAAAGATTTCAAAGGTTTAACAACAAATATGAATCATCACCACGTGCATAAGCTTTCACTTTCTATTTTTTTCAGATAAAAGCACTAAAAGGCATAAGAAGGAATAATGTGTTCTTTCGGCATCAGATCAGAGACAAAACTCATGTAACTGAAAACGAAACCGGACCATGATGACTCGATGGATTCCAATGAACGACGCTTTGTATCAGACATGAGAATAAAGTATAACATCTTGTACTTGAATCAAAATCACCATTTCTAAAATATCAAGTAGCAAATTCAGAAGCTCAGCATTTGCTTTCAATACTAAATACTAAACGCTGCAAGTTTAAATCTAGACTACCATTTTCAAAACAAAGGACTGCATATGAACAAAAATCATGGAAACGTCGAGATGAACTGCATCGTACATTTGGATAACGGGGTAATCTGCATAATATTGCTACGAACCAAATCGACAGTGAAAAGAATGAACGGGGGTTAATCTAGATTATCATTGTCAATAGAAACTACAGGGGAAAGGCCTCATACATTTGGATAATGGAGGGGTGATCTTCACAATATTGCTATTAACCGAATCAACGACGAAAAGCTCGCCCTCCTTTGAGACATGGATCTTATGTGGAAGAACTCCAATTTCATTTGCCTCCACTACAGTCTCAACCAAGTACCCATTCTCAAATTGCAGGACATTACCATCTGCCAAACGACGTTAAAATTAGCCAGCCACAATGAACAAAGGTAACCAGAAAGTATCAAAAACACTGAAATAGTTTTTTCACAACCACCTGATGGGGGGGCTTTATATGAAGACCTAGTCCATTTGACAATAGAAGACAAGTGTTTAATCAATGGTCCTGAAGAAGAAAAACAAAATATCCCCAAAAAACATCAACAAAAGAGCCAAATCACTCTCAAAAGATAGAAATCAGATCAGAGAACTCCATAAGTAGCCATGGCAACACAGTTTGGGTAGATAAATGAAGAATTGAAGCTAATTAGAACAGACCCATCAAACCAAATAGAGCGAAAATGACGATGAAAGAAGACACTCGCCTGCAGGAGTAGCATGAACTTGGATTTGAAGCGGAAAAACGAGTAAAACTAGTATGAAAATGACAAATGTAAACGAGTTCTTCATAGCACAGCCGACAAATTGAGCCAATTGAGAGAGGGAGATCGGGAGCTTGGCTCAGCGATTCAAGTAGAAACCGATTTCTGCCATTTTCTGCAGATGGGTAGTGAGAGAATCAGTAGCTATGGAGTTTTGATTCGGCTCTTCGGCTCTAGAAACGAACAAAGCATCACAAACGACAGCTCCAGAAGAAGAGGTAACAATCTGGATTTGAGTTAAAAAAAGTTTCACCTCTTAATACTTTCTTTGTTTTGATTTTGGTCTTCCTTTCCGATTTCTACTTTGCCCCCTCCTCAGCCTCACTTTGTGAGAAGAAAGCTAAGCCACGGCTGTTCGAAAATGTAAACATAATTGCGTTTTTTTCTTCCCTTTTAGACAATTGCACAAAATGCGTTTCTTTCCCTCAAAGATTCTTTTTAGGATTCGCCCCTTCAATTGTCATCCAATTCCTATCTTTCTACAAGCCATTTTTAAATATGAACAATTTCAAAAAAAAAAAAAAAAAAGAACGTTTTCTTATAATTGTCAATGTTTTAATAGTCTAATTGCCATATTAAGATGGTTTAATTATAGTTTTAAAATTTTTATTTTATTCATTAAATTTATGAATATTCCTTCCCCATTTTTAAAATTTTTAAATATGATATTATCCCCTTAATTTTTTCACAGAATTATTTAATAATTTTTAATTAAAAGTTTTTTTTTTTAATTTACCAATAAATATATTTAAATAAATAGGAACTTTGTTACACGTGTCTCTAAACTCATCATTAAACACAATACTCCAACCTGAATTTTAATTTATTGATTTTAAAAAATACAACTCATTAGAAATTATATATTTATTTTTTGTATTAAATTTAAATTACAATAATTTTAAATGGATAGATCTAATGGTTATTTTCTTATTAAGAGATTATTGGTCAATTACTTACCAAAAACGACATCCCAAGTGTTTGACCTCAAAATCAAGTAATTTTAAAATTTCCAGAAAAAAAAAAAAAAGTTTCCACGTCACTATTAAAATCCGCCATTTATACCGTGGGCTTATCCGGTCCAAAAAGAGTTGAACAATGGGCCGAAGTGGGCTTTTAAAGGGCCCTTCATCTCTGAAATTTTCTATTTTCTCTCAAAGAAGGCGGCTGTGTCTTATAAACCTCAATTTTCAGATCTCCATCTCTCACAATTCAATCGATCCGCGCGATTTTCCGTCGCGTTTGACTCTTCTTCGCGCAGCGGCAGGGTCTGTTTCTATATCTCCGCCTTCCTTGATCTCCTTGAGCGTCATTTCGCTTGCAATTTCTAGATCTCTATCGGTTTTTTTTTTTTTTTTTTTTTTTTTTTTTTTTTTTTTTTTTTTTTTTTTTGCATGTTTCATGATTTGATTGCATGTAGGTGGGGTTAGGGTTTTCTCTATACTCTGATTGTCGATCTGTAACCGATTTCGTTTGTATAATCGATAGAGATCTGGAGTTATATCTATCTATGGCATGTAGATCTGTTGAATGGGGTTCTGGACGTAGAATTATTGACTTTTTTTCTTGTGATGCAGCGTTGACAATCGGTGAGTTGAAGGAAGATGGGTGGTGGATTTAGAGTCCTTCATCTGGTTAGGCCGTTCCTTTCGTTTCTCCCTGAGGTGCAGAGTGCCGATCGGAAAATTCCATTCAGAGAAAAGGTTATTTATACTGTCATCGCTCTCTTCATTTTCCTGGTATGCAGCCAGCTTCCTCTGTATGGGATCCACTCAACGACGGGCGCAGATCCATTTTACTGGATGCGTGTGATTCTCGCTTCTAATCGTGGTACTGTCATGGAGCTTGGGATTACCCCAATCGTCACATCTGGGATGGTGATGCAACTCCTGGTCGGTTCCAAGATTATTGAAGTCGACAACAATGTGCGGGAGGATCGGGCTCTCTTGTAAGTGCTTATAGATATAAATATATAAATTTCCGGTTTATTTGCGATATTTAATTTGGCGTGCTTTCTGCTTATTGGGTTTGTAGATGGTGATATTATTATCGATTATTTTGTCCCGATGTGTTTTAACGATTCATCCTTCTGTTGCAGTCATTGAATATTTTCCCGTAGATTTTCCTTTTTCAATTGTTCCTGGTTGACAATGATTGTGTTAGTTGTCCGTTATTGAAAAAGAACTTTTTTTTTATTTTTTTTAATTTGCTTCTTAAAAATGTTTTAAAAATCATATCCAGAACTAAAGATTTGATTTTAAGACTAAATTATTTACAAATTCTTAGCTTGCAGTTGAGTTTGGATGCATGCTATATTTTATTCTCTGAAAATTATACATGTATTGGTGAACAATGGCTACATGTAAGCATTGTGGGGTCCTTTTTATTTGTTGGTTTAGTACGATGATATTTATTAAGTTTACGAAGCATGGTTAATTTCTTTGGTTTCTATTGTTTTCCTAATCTTAGTATCATTTCATTTGTCCTTTTGTTATGATTGTATCTGATTGTGAATGCAATGATCTTTTAGCTATCATAGTGAGGTTTGAGGAACTCGACTTCTTATATGGTTTATTTTCTGAACGAACATTCACCTTTGCATTCTATTTTAACAGTCTACATTTTCAAAATAATTTTCCTTTCAGAAATGGCGCACAGAAATTGTTGGGCATCCTGATAGCCGTTGGTGAGGCAGTTGCTTATGTTCTCTCAGGAATGTACGGTAGCGTTAGCCAACTTGGCGTTGGAAATGCTATTCTTATCATAGTTCAGCTCTGCTTTGCTGGTATCGTTGTCATATGCTTGGATGAGCTTCTCCAGAAGGGATATGGTTTAGGATCTGGAATTTCCCTCTTCATAGCAACTAACATGTGGTAAGTTCTCTTGCCTTTCTGTCATTCTTTCTCATTGATTTAATATTTTGACATACATTGTTTTTTGTTCGCCCTGTCGATAGTGAGTTTTTTATAATCGTCTGGATTTTGCAGTGAGAACATTATCTGGAAGGCATTTAGTCCGACCACCATTAACAGTGGAAGAGGAGCTGAATTTGAAGGAGCTGTCATTGCACTGTTCCATCTGCTGATTACTCGAACAGACAAGGTTCGTGCATTGCGCGAAGCATTCTATCGGCAGAATCTTCCAAACGTGACAAATCTGCTTGCTACAGTTTTGATCTTCTTGATTGTCGTCTATTTCCAAGGGTTCCGTGTGGTTTTGCCTGTGAGGTCAAAGAATTCCCGTGGACAACAGGGTTCTTATCCAATTAAGCTTTTCTACACCTCCAACATGCCAATCATTCTTCACTCTGCTCTCGTTTCCAACCTTTACTTTATCTCTCAGGTAAGTTGATTTTTCTGCTTCATGGCACAACTGAGGTATGCTTAGCACCAATCCCTCCTAACTGGTTGCTTGGAATTGTATTCACAGTTGCTGTACAGGAAGTACAGTGGGAACTTTTTGGTGAATCTTTTGGGTATATGGAAGGAATCTGAGTATTCAAATGGTCAATCCGTCCCTGTTGGTGGCCTAGCTTATTACATCACCCCACCGTCAAGGTGATATTCTTAGTTCCTCTGCTGGTCACACACCCCTCTTCTCTCATAGGAAAAAAAATGATAAATGTTAATACTCTACAGTGGCCATGTGTTTTTTTTTTGTAATATGTGCTGTTTCTTCTTGCAGCCTGGCTGATATGGCAGCCAATCCTTTCCATGCTTTGTTCTATCTTGTATTCATGTTATCCGCATGTGCACTCTTCTCAAAAACTTGGATTGAAGTTTCTGGATCATCTGCCAAGGATGTGGCTAAGCAGTTGAAGGTATGGTTTACCTGATCCTGCGTGCATTCTTTCAGTGAAAATAAAACTTTAGACCCTTCTTGCTACTCAAATTTATTCTGCAAAATTAACTGTTGAAGGGAAAAGTCCGCCCATTGTAGTTAAAGAATTGAAGTAGATTTTTGGTTTACTAATTAGCATTGTTTTGATTTGCAGGAACAACAAATGGTTATGCCTGGACACCGTGAATCTAATTTACAGAAGGAGTTGAACCGTTACATACCCACAGCTGCAGCATTTGGAGGAATGTGCATTGGGGCACTGACTGTGTTGGCTGATTTCATGGGAGCAATCGGTTCAGGGACTGGAATTCTACTTGCTGTGACAATTATTTATCAGTACTTCGAGACCTTTGAGAAGGAGAAAGTCAGTGAACTGGGTCTGTTTGGTTTCTAAAACCTTTTCTTTGAATTTAATTTTTAATACTTTTGTGGTGCCAAAGAGGTCTCCTGTCAATTTTGGTGCCTTGGGATTTTCGTAAGAGTCTTATGTTAACAACACATCTCAAGATCTAAGGTCCAAGAACCAGGTATAACTCTATAGCTTTCTCTCTCACCGTAACAGCAGATAATATCATCTTCAGACTCTGAATCTCCACGCCATTTTTCTTTCGTGCTTCTACTGACATGTTCATTTTTTCATAACAACAAGATTTTAAAGATAAAAGAACGAGTGAATCATTGTGTTGGTAGGTCAGATTAGGAGAAGGAGGCTTTCTATGTTTATAGCCTGATGTTCTGTCTTAAAACTTTGTAACCGTGGATTAAAATTTTCACATTTTCTTGCTTCTTTGATACGACTTCTGTGGAACAGTTGATTCTTAGATCCATTTCAATTATAATCATCTTATTGTCAATCCATTTCTCCCTACTTTCTGGTTTTTTGGGAACATTTTCCTTTTGGCAATCAAAATCTGAAGGGCTTTGTGAACTATGATTTTGATTATGCATCACAACTGTTGATTGCTGTATTTCCTGATTTGCTCTATAATGTGATGGGGAATATAGTGGAAATTGTTAGTCTCTCCTCTGTTGCCATGGTCTGAGCTGATGGTGATGGATGGATGACCTACGAGCGTGAATCTAAAACCATTTATTGAATATTTTTATATTCATTCATGCTATTCTCTTACTCTTTTTTTTTTAAAAAAAATGGCATACGAGCTTTTACAGGGCATCAATTCTATATCTCAGACTCATACCCAATTTAGAATCTTTTAATGTTTTTATGAGATCCCTTGCACTGTTTTTAGTTGCAATAGTTGACTTTTAAAAGAATTAAAACTCTCTATAATTCAAAGAAGAATTTATTCCTTTCGTGTAATAGTTGTTCATTCACAATGTATGGAAAGACATGTCCTTACAAAATGAAATGGAAAAACATTTTTGGTTGTATTAACATTTTTGGTTGTATTAAGTTATTCAAGTGTATACGATTGATCAAATTTGAAATTATTTACAAATTTCTTTTAGAACTTATTTGATTGATTGGGATATTTGTATAATAAATTATTCAAGTGTATAGGATCTTTTAATTTCTATAATGTTGTTTGAAATTATCAGATTTTTTAATAATTGTGTTTCAATCAAAGCATGCATGCTCAATCACCCTTCCCACCCCGTGATTACGACTTCCCT